AACAAGCCTTTCCTTCCCACCCTGACAATGTCCATCCCACCCTATTCCACCCCTGGGAGACCCTCGGTCTCCAACTCAGCTCATTTCCTCCTTGGGAACAGGCAGAGAGAACAGGCAGGCAGGTGGACTGCTCAGCAACACCTGAGGCCAGGCCCCAACACCCTTGTACAACCTCCCTGCCTGGTCTACAGTGTCTTTCACCTTCCAGTCAACGCGACAGCGAGCGACCAGAGAGGTCCAGATATGTTTCTGTCTGAGACAGTCTATCAGAGCTTATGAGAGAATAAATGACGGGGTGGGGGGCAGGTGAAGGCATATGTGGGGGTGGGGGGCAGGGGAGGCTTAGGGGAGCTCAAGGGGGGGGAAAGGAGACATATGTACTACCGTACTATGTATAATGCTTCAAACAATAATAAAAAAAAAAGAATAAATGAGCCCTAATTGATTTGGCTCAGTGGATAGAGCATCAGCCATAACAAAGGGTCCCAGGTTCAATTCCCGTCAAGGACACATACCTCGGTTGCAGGCTCCTTCCCAGCCTGGGCCTTGCTCGGGGTTTGTGTAGGAGATGTCTTTCTCTCTCTCTCTTCCACTCTCTCTAAAAATCAATGGAAACATATTCTCGAGTGAGGAATCAATCAATCAATCAATCAATCAATCCTGGGGCGAAGATTAACTAACAAACAAATAAACAAATAAGTGAATGAAGATTTATTTAACCAACAAATGTTTATTGAGCACCTACTGGGTGCCCGGCACTTTGCTGGGGACATGGCAGTGACCGGGACAGCCTCAGCCCCATGGGGGAGGCAGACCTGTCTCCACACAGTGACGAACCCGGACAGGCAGAGCTGGGAGGGGTCCGGGGAACAGAGATGGGAACTGACCCAGCCTGGGGACCAAGGGGCTGGGAGGAAGGGCTATTGGAGCTAAGAGCTGGAGGAAGAGCGTGTGAGGCAGAGGAGCAAAAGGAAGAGAGTTCCAGGTGGAGGAGAGGGCACACACAGGAGACAAAGGAGAGACCCCATGGCATCCGGGGCACTGAGGAGGCGTTGGGAGAGGTGAGGCTGGATGGTCAGCCCTGGCCAGGGTGTGCCAGGCCTGTGGGCCTCGGTGAGTGAGGAGTTTCAGTGCAGAATGCCAGGTATTGGCAAGGTCAAGCTGAGAGTCCCCAGTAGGGACCATTCTGCTTTCCTGACGCTCCACAGACACCCCCTCCAGGAGGCTTCCAGGATTGCTCGCTGGGAGCTGGCCCAGCCAGCAACACTATCCCTGCTGGGCAGTGAGGCGCCAGGAGTTACTCTTAATCAGACTGGTTCTACCCTCAGTGAGGTCGCAGTGGTGACAGCAGGACACAAAGTCGCAAACCTCCCTCCTCTCGTGCCTTAGAAACTCTCGCAGACTTTTCTCAGGGCCGAAGCCTTGGCTTGCTGGAAACAACAGACCACACCGGACCTGCCGTTAAACCAGATCCCCGGTGAGCCACGGCCACAGTCACAGCTGAGCAGCACTGCTCTGCAGCTCCGCCTCCCTGTGCCTCAGTTTCCTTCTCCGTACAGTGGGGAGAGTAACCTACCTAGGAGACTGGGGTGGTGAGAACTCACTGACAAAGCGTGTGAGAGCGCCGGGCACAGCTTACCGAGTGTTTGCTGTCACAGGCCCCTCTCCTCATCTTCATTGTTATATTTCAGAGCCCACTGTCCGCTAAGCTCCATGCTCTCTGGATGCAGAAGCTGAGAAATGGTGTGGCAGCGATTTCGCCAAAGGGCGGAAGGACAGACTGAGGCCTGCCTTGGGCAATGTTGGCCCAGGGCTCTTCACAGGATGCACGGAGCCAGCCCAGCTGGCACTGCCACCCCCCGCTCCCCTGGTCCACAGGCAGAGCCAGGATTCTGTCCTCTCTTCTTACTCAAGTCTCCTCCTCCCAAAGCCCCCAAACTGAGCCCCAGAGAGGAAGACTTGTTTGCTCACCCCATGCTCTGTGGGTGGGTGTGCATGTCCCTGTGTGTGTTTGAGGGAAGGAGGGAGGGAGAAAGGGAGGGAGGGGGGAGAGAGAGAGAGAGAGAGAGAGAGAGGGAGTCCAATGCCAATTTTTCCCTTGGACACAGTAGGCACTATGCTAGGTCTCATGACAATCTTAGGGGCCCATGAAAATGCTTGGTTTCTTTGAAAACCTGAAGGAAACACTAAACTCCTAGGTAAAAGAAAATGTTTTAATATGTCACGTTATTTGTGAAATATAATTTTAGGAAGAGGCCCACCAAGGGGCCTGTTTCTCTGCTCCCAGGGGCGTCTCCCCGAGGCTCTGTGAAAAGGTTAGGGTGGCTCTGTTTCTAACTTTTCCTTCTTAATCCTCGCCCGCGGACATGCTCAGAGAGAGGAAGGGGGAGAGAGAGATCACTGTGAGAGAGAAAATGAGTGACAGAGAAACACTGATTGGCTGCCCTCTGTAAGTGCGCTAACCTGGGATGGGACCCACAGCCCAGGCTGTGCCCTGATGGGGGACTGAACCAGCTACCTTTCGGTGCACAGGACGACACTCCACCCACTGAGCCACCTGGGCCGGGCACAGTGGCTTTGTCTTGATAATGAAACCAGCCCCTAGCACGTGCCTCGTGGGGGCAAATTCCCAGGGTCTACCTTCCCGTGACCTTCTGCGTGCACCTATACTGACATACATAACTCACTCTACAATAATCAAAATGACAGACTCCGAAGCCCACAAGCTTCATTTTTATCCCAGCTCCGCCACTCATTCACTGTGCGACTCTAGGCAAGTGTCTTCGCCTCTCTGGGCCTGCCACGTCTTTGCCTGTGAAATGACCATTCCTACGAGTGTGGTGAGAATGAAATAAGTAGCCCTTGTTATTGTTGAGTGAAGAACATCCATGAGCACCTATAGGGAAGGTGTCCCTGTCATGTGTATGTGTCACGTGTGCTGGTAACCGTGTGCTGGTGTGTGTTTCTATGTACAGGTGTTTTTCCATGTGGCCGTGCGTGGTGCCGGTGATGGGTGAAGGCCTGAATGCCCCAGTGTGACCCTGGGAGTGGACGCCAGAGGCTGGGTGGACATGTGGGCCACCTGTGGTGAACACCGGTCTTTGGGCAGCCAGACTACGTGTGTGTGTGTCTCCTTCATTCTGGGGGAGAGGAGATGAGGGGCTTGGGTGGGATTGAGGGGTCACTCCCTGTCTGATGCTGGGGCCGAGTCACTGCCTGCTGGTGGTTGGTGTGTCATTTCCTAGTCCCCTGTCCCTACTTCCAGACCGGCAGCAGACAGAGGAGGCATGGGGAGACGAGATAGAGGTCAGTTTGAGGCCTGGCTTTTGTCTGGAAGCACCCACCTTCCCACATTGTCCCCCATGTCCGCCCAGCCTTCCACATCTCCCTCCCCTCCCCACTACTGAGGCAGAGAATCAGAACTCCCTGGGAATCAGGAGCCACGCTCTGCTGCTCGGTCTGAGCTGTGCTGTGTGACCCAGAGCCAGGCCCTCGCCTTCTCTGGGCCTGTGGGATTCGCCAATTTTAACGTGATCCTCCCTCTGAGCCATGAAGGGAAGCGCCAAGACCTCAGAATTGTGAAGCCGCTGGTGGGACCCCTCCCAGTGGGTGCCTGTGTGTTGGGCCTGTGGCTTCCACATTATTCGGATTAGACTATCGGATCCCAGTTCCTAACTGGGTGGCCTCGGGTGAGCAGCTTGCCCCCTCTGAGCCGGGGTTACCGTAGGGGACACTGTGAGCAGACAGGGTGGTTTTGCAAGGCTTTCCGCCCTGGGCGACTGGACGCTACTATCACTGCAGCTACCTCTTAAAGAGCCCCACACCTAGGGCTTTTCAGGGAATGTCACTGGACCAGCAGCTCTGAGGACCCAGGAGAGAGCAGGAGCTCCGGGGTTTGACAATTTTGAGTTTGAATGTCTTCCGGTGGAACCCTGGGAAAGTTACCTAACCCCTCCAACGATCATTTTCCTCTTTTGCCAAATGAAGATTTTCCTCCCTAAGCCCTCAAAAGTTGTTTTAAGGATCACAAATCTTGTATTGAAAGTCTTAGTATAGAACCTGGCACTTGGTTATTGTTAAATACATAGCATTAATTATTATTATTATTATTATTATTATTATTATTATTATTTCCACACACACATTCTTACTGTCCTTGGATAATAAATCGAGAATTAGAGGTTACCAACACCATCAGCAGAGACGTGTCACCCTGTTTCATTACCTCCCACACTGTGGACCTGGGGGGCCAGGAGTGTCCAAGACCCACATCCTTCGTCCAAGCTGGAAAAAAACTGAAGCTGAAGCTCAAAGAGGGAAACCATTTCCCAAGCTCACAGAGCAGGCCAGAAGCTGCCGGGAAAGTCGGGGCTCCACCCCACCTCCACTTTCACCTGGAGAACCCCAGCCCCTCCCACCCGGCTCGGGACTCCCGCGCTCTTAGCCAGGATCTGCTTTTGGAGATCTGACCTCGCTCTCGCGTGGGGGCGCTGCACCAGCGGGGGAATTGGGCGGGGCGGCCGGAGAGGAGGGGTCTCCCCCGCCAGGGTCTTCCCCGGGACCTTCCCCAAATAGTTTGAAATCCTATTAATACCAGCCCCCGGGGCGGCGCGGCACTGCGCCGGCGCGAACGCGTTCCGCAAGCGCGCGGGGAGAGCGAGCCAGCGAGCGAGGGATTCCCTCTGACGTAATTGCTAGGTTACCAAACAAACACTCTGCCCGGCCGGCCGAGCTCCTTATATGGTTAATTGCGTCACAGGAACTCGGGGAGGCGGGGCCGGGATCCCCTCCTGCAGAGCGCCCCGGGGCGCAGCCCCCGAGACCCCCGGGGCCGCGGAGGGTGCGGCGGGCGACCAAGTGGAGGACAGGGCACCCCCCCGCCGAGCGGCTCGGGGTTCGGTGCGGCGGGGCCCGAAATCTGGAGAAGTTTTCAGAAAGAGGGGCGGGTGACGTAAGCAGGGAGGCGGGTCCAGGCGTATAAATACGGCCGGCGGCTTTGGGGTTCATTCATAAGACTGAAGCTACAGCCACCACTGGGACACGCGGCGCTGGGACCTGGGGACTTTATTGTTGTGGTTCTTGGGGCTGGTTCTTATTAATTTTTTTCCGGAAAGAAAGTTTTCAGAAGGATTCTTCTGGATAATTCTACATTTTACTTTGGAGGACCCGCTTACTTTTTTTTCCCCGTCCTCTTGATTATTACTCCCTTTTCTTTGGGGGGACACGCCGGACGCGTGGAGGAGACGGCACCCGGAGCAGATTCTGTAAAGCCGGACAGCGCTTTCCGCCTCTGGGGGAGCGATCCCCCCGACCCCGCGCCACTGGGTCCTCCGGAGCCTGGACTTGCCGGCGGCACAGCGGCATCTTGTGGGGGCCCGGGCGCCGCGGAGGAATTGCACCGAAACTTTGCCGCGGTTGGGACGGGACGCGCTGCCCCTCACCCCGAGTTTGCCCGGACAGCGCGCTTTGGGGACGCGCTCGGCTCACCCCGGACTCGCGCCTTTCCTCCTCCACCCGGCCATAGCCTTGGCTTCCCGGCGACCGCAGCGTGGTCACAGGGCCCCCCCTGTGCCCAGGGAAATGTTTCAGGCTTTCCCCGGAGACTACGACTCCGGCTCCCGGTGCAGCTCCTCGCCCTCCGCCGAGTCTCAGTACCTGTCTTCCGTGGACTCCTTTGGCAGTCCACCCGCCGCCACCGCCTCCCAGGTAAGTTCTAATGAGTTGGGGTACTGCTCTGCGGGTTTCATTTTAAGGCAAGGGTGGAACGAGCAATCTCGCCACCCCAAATAAAGACGCGTCAAAACCGGGGATCCGCTAGGACTAGACTTTGCAAACTGCAGAGTTGGGACTTGTGGGTCGCGTAAGCGAAGCGCAGGGAGGGAGCGCAGGGGGGTGAGTTCTGAGGATGAGAAGAATGTGCCCTTTAGTGACATGTAGTCTGCGGCAGCAGGACGGAGGGCTTTTAGGGGGGCTCCGGGACTGTCCCCGGCCCAAGTCCCCACTCTAGAGCGGCTCGGCAGGTGGGGAAATCCCGGGGAGGCGTCCAGCAGCCCCCACCCCCTTTACCTCCTCCATCGGAGCGCCCACTCGAGCGCTGTAGCTCCCGATGCAGCGGGAAGGTGGGCCGAAATCTCGGCTGCACTGCCTCCGCCTCCTGCGTGGAGACGTAACGGGGGACCCGTGCGTAACGGCTGACGTGCTGGAACCCTCCGTCTGACGCGAGGCACGCACGGCGCACGGCGCACGGCGCCCCCTCCGTCCGCCCCGCCCCTGACGTCCCGGGAGCGTTCTATTTTGGAACGGCAGGGCCACGTTGCTAGGGAGGGAGCAGCTCGGCGTTCCGATTGGTCACCGCGCCGCGAGCCTTAGCCAATCAGCTTCCTCTTCCTATTTGTATGGTGCCGTTCCCTTCCTTCTCACTCTGTCCTTGGAGCCCCGGGTTTCTCGGCGCCGCGGTCCCCTTTGCGGGCCTCTAGAAGCAGAGCGAGGGGATCGGGCCTCTAGAAGCAGAGCGAGGGGATCGGGTCGCGACAGGAGCCACCCTCTGCGACACCATGGGTCTGCGAGCCCCGGCCGGGGGTCCGGTCCCTCCGCTCTCGGGGGGGCAGGGGATGTCTGTCTGCAGGCAGGGGGTTCTTCGGGAGATAGGGTGACCGTCATAGCTTCTCCAGGCACAGGCACACCCGAGCTCCCTCTGCTCTGGACTCCGGGTCCCTCAGGACTAGAACCGCTAACTCTGGGGGAAGCAGCCAGGTGGTCTCCGGGAGCCCCGCCCCCTCCGGGCTTCCAGGACGCTGATTGGCCAGCGGACCAGCCCATCCCTCACCACGCCCCCTGGGAGAGTAGTTCGCGTTAGGAGCAGTTCTGGGATACCGTGTGGGGATTGGGGAGATGGGCGCCGCTCGGGCTTGGGGGCTCCGGACCTACACCATCCCCTCTCCGCGACAGGCTGAGGGAGCCCGGGTTGTCGTTCTTCCCTACCTGGGCGTCCATCGGAACCTGTCACTGCCAGCCCCACTCTGGGGAGAGACAATCACTTGAAACGTTGTTCTAAACTCCCAGGCCCACCTCCCAACACCCTTTGAACCGGGACCCCCGCCCCTGCGCAGCGGGAGGTCTCGCGGACCCCCCCACCGCTCGTCCTCTCACTCTGAGGGGTGTGTGTGTGTGCACGCGTGTAGAGGAAGGCTTGGCCTGAGGCCTCTCCCTCTCCCTCCCCTTGCCTCTGGGGTGGGGGTGGGGTGTAGTGGCTGTGTGTGTGGCTGTGACTCTCTCCGGGGCTTCTGTCACCCGGCTGTGTCCAGCCTTCCCCCCACCCCCCCCACACCTAAGAGTCACCAACTCGGGGTGTGATTCACCACCCGCTGGAACCGTGCAACCTTTCCCCGAGGAAGAAGGAGGAGGTAGAAGCCAGTTGAGCAGAGATCCTCTCATTAACCACTGCGTCACGGTGTAGTGGAAGGGTGGGTGTTGTGGCTTTTTGCCTGTGACACACACATCCACACCCGCTCACCCTGTGCTCACTCACGGGGTCGGTGTGTGTATGTGTGCTGGGTGTGTGTGTGTCGGTGTCTCTGTTTGTGTGTCTACGCCTGTGTGTGTATGTGTCACCCTGTAGGAGTGCGCCGGGCTTGGGGAAATGCCCAGTTCCTTCGTGCCCACGGTCACCGCGATCACAACCAGCCAGGACCTCCAGTGGCTCGTGCAACCCACCCTCATCTCTTCCATGGCTCAGTCCCAGGGGCAGCCACTGGGCTCCCAGCCCCCCGCCGTCGACCCCTATGACATGCCTGGAACCAGCTACTCCACCCCAGGCATAAGTGGCTACGGCAGTGGCGGAGCCGGTGGCAGCGGTGGGCCCTCCACCAGCGGAACCACCAGTGGACCTGGGCCCGCCCGCCCATCCCGAGCTCGGCCCAGGAGACCCCGGGAGGAGACGGTGAGTAAGAGGCATCAGAACTTCATCCGGGGAGAGGGGACAAGAGAGGCAGAAACTTCCTTGTATTGGGGTAGGGGGCCTCTAGCTCATATTGGGGTGAGGGGCCGCTCCGGCCTCAGTGCTGCAGGAGCCCTATCGTCCTTGCCACCGCTGGCGAGGAGCAGAGAGTCCTTGGCTGGCTCCTGGGGGTTCTGGGAGAAGAGGAGGTGCAGGGGGCGGTGGAGGAGGTGCTCCATGTTCCCAAACCTCATGACCTTTACCTCCCCTGCTCAGCTTACCCCGGAGGAGGAGGAGAAGCGAAGGGTTCGCCGGGAAAGAAACAAGCTGGCAGCAGCTAAATGCAGGAACCGTCGGAGGGAGCTGACTGATCGACTCCAGGCGGTGAGGATGGCCCCTGGGGGGGGGGGGGAAGGGTAGGCTGAAGGGGGGCTCCGTCCCCACCCTCTGTCCCTTATCCTGGGCTGAGAGCCAGAGCTTCCATGTGTGAAACCAGGGACAGGGGAGACCAGACAGGGTCCCCCTGTGCACACACCCAGACCCTCACATACTCACCTCAACCCTGGCCCATAGCCCAGGTTTATGACTCCCCACTCCTACCCCCGCCCCCCACACACCACTCTCCTGGCCTTCACTTCCTGCTGAGGTGACACATGATGACACTTGAATAGAGGGGAGCTGTAGGCATTTCTCCCCTTCGATCTTGGGCAAGCAAGAATTCATTTTGCCTCAGTTTCTCCATCTCTTCCTCCCCTCGCCCAATCTCCCAAGCCCCCTTCCAGCTTGAACATTCCAGAGAGTATGAATTGAACTCTTAACTGATGTCCATTCCCCATTATCCAGGCACCCCTAGTCCTTTTAAAAAATATATTTTTTTTTATTGATTTTTTTTTTTTTTACAGAGAGGAAAGGAGAGGGAGAGAGAGTTAGAAACATCAATCAGCTACCCCTTGCACCCCCTCTCCCCCAAATGGGGATGTGCCTGCCACCAAGGTGAATGCCCTTGGCGGGAATCGAACCTGGGACCTTTCAGTCTGCAGGCCTGTGCCCTCTCCACTGAGCCAAACCCGTTAGGTCTCCACCCCTAGTTCTTAGACTGCGCCCAGCAGTCCCCCTCCCCTTTGACCTCCTCCCTCGCTCGGAGAGTGTCCTGCTTGGGGCTGGGGGGTGGCCTGCTGCTCCTGCAGGATCCGGGAAAGTCTGTGCTTCCCTGGGACACAGGACCCTGGCCACAGAGGTGGCATCACAGCCATAACCACCTTCACTCGCTCAACAAACCAGAGCCATCCATGTGCGCCTGGCTGCTTCTGCACCACTCCCTGGGCAAATGGGGAAACTGAGGCTCCTCAAAGGCACCAGGACCCCCCACCTCAGGGGGCCGTCCTCTCAGCCAGAGCTGCCTTCCAGCCCTGGGCCTTCGCAGCCAGTCCCGGGATGTGGCTTCCTGGCTCCCGCCGCCACCATCAGTGGCTCACGGTCTTTCTGTCCTTCCTCTCCCGCACGGCCTGGGGGCTCAGGAGACAGACCAGCTGGAGGAGGAGAAGGCCGAGCTGGAGTCGGAGATCGCCGAGCTGCAAAAGGAGAAGGAGCGCCTGGAGTTTGTGCTGGTGGCCCACAAGCCGGGCTGCAAGATCCCCTACGAAGAGGGGCCGGGCCCCGGGCCGCTGGCGGAGGTGAGAGACGGGCCGGGGCCGGCGCCCGCTAAGGAAGACGGTTTCGGCTGGCTGCTGCCGCCCCCGCCACCACCGCCCCTGCCCTTCCAGACCGGCCAGGACGCAGCCCCCACCCTGACAGCTTCTCTCTTTGCACACAGTGAAGTCCAAGTCCTCGGCGACCCCTTCCCCGTTGTTAGCCCTTCGTACACTTCTTCGTTTGTCCTCACCTGCCCGGAGGTCTCCGCGTTCGCCGGCGCCCATCGCCCCAGCGGCAGCGACCAGCCTTCCGACCCCCTCACCTCGCCCTCCCTTCTCGCTCTGTGAACTCTTAGACTCAAAACAGACAAACGGGGGAGACTTGGAGGAGGAGGAGGAGGAGGAGGAGGAGGAGGAGGGGAGCTGGGGTGTCCAGCCCCCCCCCACCCCCTGCCTCTCCCGCTGACTCTGCAGCCTCCGCCCGGACAGGACAGGGGGGCCTCTCGTGTCTGTGGCCCCGAGAGGCCGGGGAGCTGGTGACTTTGGGGGCGGGGGGTGGGGAGGGGATGGACACCCCATCTGCCTGATTGTTGGTCGTCTCACTTCAACCGGATCTCTGGGGGCTGAGGGGGTGGGGGGATGCCCAGCTGTGGGCTGGCGGAGCGGGAGGGGGTGCTGGCGTGGGCCGAGGGGTGTGGGCTGGAGAGGCCCAGCCAGGACGTGCCCAGAACCCGCCCCGGGGTCCCCCAGACCCGCCCTCTGGGGGTGGTCCGCCGGTTCTCCCTGCGGCCCCGGCCTGAGCGTATTGATCCATTTATCCGGCACGTTCACGTGTTCGATCCTCCTCTGAATTGAGCCCCCTTTGGAGGGAAAGGGAAGCTGGTGTCCCCCGACGGGGACCGCCTTCCCCGGCCCAGACTCGGTCTGAAATGTGAACCTCCCTCCCTGAGGCCCCCCCCCCCCCCCCCCCCCCCCCCCCCCATTCCTCCCGGCAAAACCGCCTTTGACTGATTGGATTTCTCCCCGAGGAAGCCCGGCCGCCGGCCTCGGCCTGATGACAGTGTTAGTCCCAGGCCGCCGCCGGCCCTCCTGGCTGGGCCTCTCTGGTCCGGGCAGCAGGGGGCGCTGCGGCGCCCGTCCTGCTGGAGTGTTTATACTGTGAAATGGGTTGGCCTGTTGTGGGGGGAGGATGGGGAGGGGAGGCGGGTGGGACAGAGCCCTGGCCGAGGGATTGTGCGCCCCAAGCCTCTTCCTGGGCTCTCTCCCCCGTCCGCCTCCTTCCTCCCCTCCACGGTGAGTTAGACTCAAGGGGGTGACAGTGGTGCACCCCACCCGCTTGGCCTCTCTCCTCAGGACCCCCCGCCCCCCATGTGTGGCCTATCCCCTGCCCCGGCCTAGGACGCCGCGTTCTCCCTCCCCTTGGCACCCCCACCTCTTACCTAGAAAGGGGGGTTGCCAGCGGGGGCCCCCATTCTTTTTCCGGAGAAGATGTAAAGGCTGAGGCTTTGGTTCCCCAACCCCCCAATATTTTTGGACTGGTGAACTGGAAGGGGGCTGGGCGCCCGTGACCCCAGCTTCCTCTCCCCACCCCCCACCCCAGTCCCAAATATTGGTTTTGGCTCTCCCACCCCGCCTTTCCTTGGGCTTCACCTCATGAGAATTTCATTGTGAAGCAAACTGATATTTTTTGAAAATTCGGGTGGGCCAGGCCCCCCTCGTGCTGCATGGAGAACATTCCACGTGCCCCACTCGCGCCTTCCAGACTCCCCCCGCCCCCAAATAGCTATTTATCCCTTTCCTGGTTTCCGAAAGGCACTTATATCTATTATGTATAAATAAATATATTATATATGGGTGTGTGTGTGCGCGCGCGCGAGTGTGAGCGCTTCTGCAACCTCAACCTTAACCTTGGTCACGTTGGCCCCACAGCCAAGCCCCTGAATGGGAAATGCTGCTTCTGGGGATGGGGAGGCAGCCTGTCCCCCTCCAGCTGCCCCTGCCGGCCTGGCTCTCTCTAGCTGTGTCTTTCCTGCCGGTCTCAGCCCCTCCCGGTGTTCCCGGCAGGCAGTCCCTGGCTGTCTCCCCGCCCCTGTCTCCCCTCAGCCCGTGTTTCTCTGACCATTGCCACCTGTCTCCCTTCTGTGACCATCCCTGATGGGCCAGCTGCCTTCTGACTGTGGGTTCGCTGGGGACATGTTTTATTTTTTGTGAGGAAACCTGAGGGATCACAGACTTTTGTGGTCTGTGTCTCTGAGAATTCTGGGTGCCAGTGTGAGATTGCGAGCAGGGCTTGCCCCCGCCGACCATGATGTATTGAATCCCATTCTGTATTTGTGATTCTCTTTTTGTATTTTGCACCTGACCCCGGGGGCTGGGACTGGTTGGCACTGGGCCACCACCCTCCCCCCCATGGTTCTGCACTGTCGCCAATAAAAAGCTCTTTGAGATGTATCCATCAAGCCTCGGGATCTGTTTTTCTCCTGACACCCGTCACCTGCCTTTCAACACGAGGGAGGGAAGGTTGGATTGCTGCAGGGACATCTCTCTCTCTCTCTCTCTCTCTCTCTCTCTCTCTCTCTCTCTCTCTCTCACACACACACACACACACACACACACACACAACTCCTGCAAGTGAATCAGCCTGCAGCAGGATGGAGGGAGGGTAGATAGTCAGGAGGACTTCCCACTCACAGGTTGTGCCTCCTGCTAGGAAAAAAAAAGCAGAATATCAGCTGTGGAGTGTGTGGTACTGAAATACTCCAGAGCCGGGGAGGTTTCCTTATGAGGAAGGGATCTGTGGGACCCTGTCTGCTCCGGGGATGGTCTGAGCAAAAACTGCCAAGTAGAGCAGCTGGAAGAATATACCTCCCGATTCTTGGAAGAACATTTAAGTGGGGCTTTGCAAGTCGTGTGCACTCCAAAAACACAGGCGATGAGAAATCTGAAGATGAGTTGGTTCCCTTTTGGTATTCGCATGACTACTTCTGGCTTAGGAACACATCAGGGTCACCCACCATTGACTAAAGTAGAAGGATTGTCACTGCCAGAGACACAGCTGAGCCATCCCCATTGCAAAGCCCAAGCCCACACTTACTGACAGAGCAGCAGGCGCTCCGGGAGTGAACGTGATGTTCCAGAGGTCATTCAGGTGCCTAGTGACTTAAATGAGCACACAGGGAAAGTTGTCACGGATTTCATTAGTTCCTTTTCATTTGTTTTTAAAAAAAATATTTTAATTTTTATTTATTATTTTTTTTTTTACAGAGAGGAAGGGAGAGGGATAGAGAGTTAGAAACATCGATGAGAGAGAAACATTGATCAGCCGCCTCTGGCACACCCCCTATTGGGGATGTATCCACAACCAAGGTACATGCCCTTGACTGGAATTGAACCTGGGACCCTTCAGTCCCCAGGTCAATGCTCTATCCACTGAGCCAAACCAGTCAGGGTTATTAGTTACTTTTTAAATTTTTACTATGTACCTGCTATGCACCCAGCCCTCTGCTGTGCAGTGTTGGAGACATTGCAGGGACTGAGACAGGCCAGGCTACCCTCTCCTAGGGATCACGGTCCAGTGGGGTACACAGTCAGGAATGACCCAAAGTGGACAGGATTGGGAGAGTCCATGGATCTGGGGGAGCCCAGAGTGGGGGGGCTTCTAATCTGGTCTTGGAGTCAAGAAAGACTTCTTCGAGAAGGGGACAGCTGAGCTGAGTCCTAGCGGATAAGAAGGGAGTGTAGAAGTAGGAAAAGACTGGGGCTGACTGGGGCAGTGAGTACAGAGAGCTTGATACTCTGAGGAAGCTAGAGGTTCACAGTAGCTGGGACAGAAGGTCCAGAAGAAAAAGTTGGCAGGGACCACATCCCGCAAACATCAATTCCAGATGAAGAGTTTAGATCTTCTTTTGAGGGCACTGGGGAGCCAGGGCAGGTTTTGGGCACAAGAAGGGCGGGGACAGTTTTATGCTTTCGGAAGACTCCCCTTAGCCTTTCAGGAGAACGGTAGCTGGGAGAGAAAGGGGCAAGAGCTGGGCACGAGACCAGGGAAGATGCCAGGGTGAGGACACTAGGCTGTGAGGGGGTCTTGGAACATGACCAAGGCTGTGGGAGAGAGAGGGGAGGCGAAGGATGTAAAAGTAATTGCAGGGGGGAGGGCATGTATGGGCGTGGGGGGGCAATGGAAAGATATGCACACATATAATACCTTAAAAAAATAAAAAATAAATAAATAAAATAAAATAAAATAAAAGTAATAGCAGCGGTAGAGCAGACGGGACTTGGTGAGTAGCTGGCTTGCAAAAGAAGGCACAGAGAAGTGGTCCCTTGGACGAAAAACTTCATCTCTCAGACCTCAGTTTCTCCCGCTGCATAATGGCGGGTAGTGAGGAGTCAGTGAGCTCGTGGGAAAGCAGTGATCACCGCCCCCATCGTCATTATTGGGGCCACCTTGATTCCCACCAGGAGTATATTAACACCCACCCCCACCCCCGCTGCTGGCTAATCCCCTCTCATCCTCCGGTATCTGCTCAAATGTTACCCTGAGACCCCACCTACACTCAGCTCTCCTTATTAGTCTCATATACTTTGTACTTTCCTTCTCAGTAGTCATCACCTTTCTAATTAATGATTGTTTAATGTTTGCCTTCTCCGCTGGACTGGCAGCACCGCCCAGTACAGGGCCAGGCACGGAACAAATCCTTATTGAATAAGTGAATGCATTAATAAAAACGAATGCATATTTAACTGGTTTAATTTGTGCACGCGTGAGCACAAGTGACTGAGTAGGTGAGCGAAAGGGAGAAATCCAATATAATTCTGAAACCACATATCCTAGCACTGAGAGGGTAGATGAGCTTTTCTTCGTCTTTTGACATTTCGCGGGAAAGATTTAATTAACCGCCGGAAGAAACCCGCGAGGTTTCGGAGACAGGGTGATGCAGAGGACTGCAGCGACCTCTCCAGGTATTGGCGTCAATCTGCACTCTTAAATTCATTTTGAGGAGAGAAAAAAAGAAAGCCATGTCGCCCGAAAGGTGGAATTGAACCACTCTGTCGCTAGACAGCTACAGGTTTGAAGCCTGCACCCCAGACCACTGAGGATCATCCGGGCGAGACTCTGCTTACCTCGCCCAGCTATATAAAGCACAGCAATTTTTATCCTTTTACAGTTATGGTTGTGAAGTTTGGAAGATTATGGGATTGCTTACTTCAATAACCAAAACTTCCCGCCACTTATTTATTATGACTGATAGACTTCCAAAATTTTATCTTTGTCTCACATAGTACGAATCATCTTCGCTTTGGAAACCGTTATTTGCATAAAGCCGCGCATTCTGGGAAACGGTTCCCCTAGAACCTGGCCCACTCGCCAGCAGTTGTTAAAGGGCCAGAACCCCCTTTTTTCAAGTGAGAAATCCGTTTTTCAAGAGAAGAGACTCATAATTTGGTCTTCGGAAGTCCCTTTCCTGAAAAACCCGAATTCGAGTGAGAGGGTTTCTGCTAGGGTCTGATTTAACCAAAGCCGGGAGGCTCTGGCAGGCGGCTATGGGGCTGAGGCGACACCTGCTGTTCTTTCAAGGAACTGCAGCGACTTACGAACACCTCTGATAATTCAAATAGTTGAGCGCCTACCGCGTCCCAGGCACTGTCCTAGGTGCTGGGGGGATGACAGAAATTCTGTCCCCATTCCGCTTAGCCGCTAGGAACCATCTATTTCTGTACCTGCATTTTATGGTCGGGGAAACTGAGGCTTAGAAACGAACAGCACCCATTATTCAACGCAGCCCACCGCGTACCTGGGGGAACCAAACCTGTGCCATCATAATTATTATTACTAAAAAGGTCACCCCTTTAGCTGAAACAGATTTGGCCCAATGGATGGAGCGTCGGCCTGCGGACTGAAAGGTCCCGGGTTCGATTCGGGTCAAAGGCATGTGCCTTGCTTGTGGGCACATTCCCAGTAGGGGGTGTAAAAGAGGCAGCTGATCAGTGAATCTGTTTCACTGATGTTTCTAACTGTCTACCCCTCTCTTTTCCTCTCTGTAAAAAACCAATATATATATTTAAAACGGTCATCCTTTTATAACCAAAGTCAGTGATTTCCCCCTCCCTTCTTTTTTTAGTCAGGGATCCTTTATCAATAATATCATTCCCCGACATGAAACCTTCCCATGGCTCCCATCTCAGAGTAAAAGTCGAAGGTCTCACCACAGCCTTACAAATAAATCCCTACAGCCCAGCCCCCTCCGCCCCTCAGACCCCATCTATTCCTCTCTCCTCGTTGACTTGAATTTTGGCATAAAGAGTTTCTGCTGCACATACCAGGCCAGCTCCCTCTCAGGGACATTGCGTTTGCCAGCCCCCCTGCCTGAATCTGCTTTCCTGCACAGGCTCACATGACTCCTTGCCTCCCTTCACCCTGGCCTCTGCTCCAGTATCACCACTTAATGAGACCTTCCCTGACCAGCCAGTTTAAAATAGCAAGTCCTGTCACTCTATCCCCTCACTCTGCTGGCCTCTGCTCCATCACCCTGCTGCAGTCTGGGTCTATTTGCTTACCGTCTGTCTGTTCCGCTAGAATATTAATATTAGCTCCATGAAACTATGCTAGTAGACTTAGTTTTGGTTCATTTCCGTGTCTCTAGTGCCCAAAGAGTGCTTGAGCAGGTAGCAGATGATGCTCAGTAAATACTTGTAGGATGAATGAGAGACTATTATTACTGTTACTAAAAGTCCTCGGCCTGCAGGGATCTGGCAGAAACCGGCTTTCTGACATTCCCTGAGGGGTTCCAGATTGTGAGAAGGCCCAGGCCAGGTCGAGGGACCCCCATCGGTGCATGAGTCGGTGCACAGGGCCTCTAGTATGCATATAAGATCATTGGTTAATCTCTTTCCGCCCTCCCCTCTCCCCTCTTCCCTTTGAGATTCATCTGTTCCATGTTTCCATGACTGTGGTTTCCCCTCCTGCATTGAGCATCTGCCCCCTGGTGGTCAGTGCGCATCATAGCTACCAGTCAGACGGCTGGTAGCTCAGGCTTTTATATACACTGAGTGGGCCAGATTACTATGCGTTCAGAGATCATAATAATCTGGCCACTCAGTGTATAATAAAAGGGTAATATGCAAATTGACCAAACAGGGCAGAACGACTGGTTGCTATGATGTGCACTGACCACCAGGGGGCAGAAGCTCAACACAGGAGCTGCCTCCTGGTGGTCAGTGCACTCTCGAGGGGGAGCACAGCTCAGCCAGAAGCTGCCAGGTTCGAGGCTGGTGGGTGCAGCTGGGGTGGCAGGAGCCTCTCCCACTTCCACAGCAGCACTAAGCTGGCAGCCAGACATCCCCCGAGGGCCCCGAGGCATCCCCATGCGAGAGGGCACCAACTGGGCTGAGGACCCCCCCACACACACTCTGCACAAATTTCATGCGCTGGGCCTCTAGTATGCATACTTGTTCTTTGGTTAATCTCTTCCTGCACCCCTGCCCCCCAAGATCTGTTATTCCGTTACTAACAAACATTTTAAATCTTAATAATTTTGTGTTTGTTACTGTTATTGTCTATTTTTGACAAGTGATACTGACCTTTAAAAGGACATTTGTCTTTTATATATATATATATATATATATATATATATATATATATATATATATATATTATTGATTTTATACAGAGAGGAGGGAGAGAGATAGAGAGTTAGACACATCGATGAGAGTCATCGATCAGCTGCCTCTTGCACACCCCCTACTGGGGATATGCCCACAACCAAGGTACATGCCCTTGACCGGAATCAAACCTGGGACCCTTCAGTCCCCAAACCGACACTCTATCCATTGAGCCAAACCGGTCCCGGCAACATTTGTCTTTTTTTTAAATTTTTATTCTCACCCAAGCCCAGCCTGTGTTGCTCAGTGATTGAGCATGGATCTAGGAAGCAAGAGGTCACGGTCGGATTCCCAGCAGGGTTGCCAGCTTGATCCCTGAGGGGGGGGGGGGGCAATTGATGTTTCTCTCTCATCGATGTTTCTATCTCTCTATCCCTCTCTCTCCTTCCATAAACCCTCCTTCCATAAGGCAATAAAAACGTATTTTTAAAATACATATTAAAAAATAAAAATAATTCCTCACCCCAGGATCTGTTCATTGATGAGAGAGAGAGAGAGAGAGAGAGAGAGAGAGAGAGAGAGAGAGAGAGAGAGAGATCCTTTGCCTTCCATACATGCTCCACTGGGGACTGAACTGGTAACCCAGGTATATGTCCTGACTGGGAATCAACCCACAATCTTTCCATGTAGGGAGGACACTCCAATCAACCCATCCAGGGCTTTTATTATTATTATTATTAATAATAATAAACCAATTTGAAGAACAATATCAGGTACGTAGCAGAACAGGTGACAGAGTGATGGTGGAGGTGCTGAAGGAGGATCTGGGGAATCCTGTCACGGTAACAACAGCAGCTTCTGCGGAACGGACACCTGTGATGGGCCAGGCCCTGCGGCAGGGCTTCCCACCTGGAGATGGTTCTGGGGACACGTGTCCATTTGAGGAAACCAAGGCTTCCAGAGGTGACTCCCTCGCTCAAGGTCACACAGCCGAGAGGCGTGACCCTGGGATTCAAGTCCAGGCCTGTGAATCTTCAGACTTTAGTGTCGTTTCTCTTCCTCCCTCGGGCTACCGTTTTGGAACCCGAGGGCCATAGAGGCCAAGCGGCCTGCTATAATATTTGGGCCCAGGCAGTTGGGACATAGTGAAGTGGGCGGGTGAGAGACGTTTGGGAGACGGAATAGACGTGGCTTTGTGGTTGATCAGATGTGAGGGAGTAGAAGTCTCAGGCCCGGTGACAGAGCGGGCAGAGAGGACATCCCTCTATGCAGTGTTTCCCAAAGTGTGGCCCGCGTACCCCCAGGGGTACGGGAAGAGTTGGGTGGGGGTACGTATTGCACCGGAGTTTGGTGGGGATATGCACTGCACCGTGCTTAGCTGCGTCTAATTCTTTTTAAAAAATATATATTTTATTGATTTTGTACAGAGAGAAAGGGAGAGAGAGAGTTAAAAACATCGATGAGAGAGAGTCATCGATCAGCCACCTCTTGCATACCCCCTACTGGGGATATGCCCGCAACCAAGGTACATGCCCTTGACCGGAATCGAACCCGGGACCTTTCAGTCCCCGGGACGGATTTGGCCCGCGGGCCTTGTGTTTGACACATGTGCTCTATCCATTGAGCCAAACCGGTTTCGGCTAGCTGCATCTAATTCTACATTCTCATGAGTACGAAGGGTACTCAGTGTTACAAAAATTATAGAAGGGGTACACATGTGTCAAAAGTTTGGGAAACAGCTGAAACCGGTTTGGCTCAGTAGATAGAGCATCGGTCTGCAGACTGAAAGGTCCCAGATTCGATTCCAGTCAAGGGCATGTATGTTGGTTGCGGGCACATCCCCTGGGGGGGATGTGCAGGAGGCAGCTGATCAATGATTCTCTCTCATCTATGTTTCTAGCTCTCTATCCCTCTCCCTTCTTCTCTGTGAAAAATCAATAAAAATATATTTAAAAAAAAAAAGTTTGGGAAACACTGCCTATAGCAATAAGGTAGGTGAGTTATGAGTGTGGGTATGTTTGCGGGGCCGTTGTTCAGGAGGCCGTGTGTCCGGACCTCAGATGAGATGTCCTGGGGCAGGCAGAGTGTGGGGAATGACTGGGGTGCTGCCTTGAGCACAGGTATTGGAAGTGGCTGCCAAGGATTGGGCAACAGACTCTCAGCCTCCACCCTGCAACCATTCCATAATCTAAGCAGATGGCCCCGGGTAAGGTGACCAGACGTCCCGATTTTTAACAATTTGTCCCGTGTCCCGCGTTGTTTTAAAAAAGTCCCGATTTTGCTGAAACCGGTTTGGCTCAGTGGATAGAGCATCGGCCTGAGGACTGAAAGGTCCCAGGTTCGATTCCGGTCAGGGGCATGTACCTTGGTTGCAGGCACATCCCCAGTGGGGGATGTGCAGGAGGCAGCTGATCGATGTTTCTCTCTCATTGGTGTTTCTAGCTCTCTATCCCTCTCTCTTCCTCTCTATAAAAGATAAATAAAATATATTTAAACAATAAAAAATAGCCAGGACCGGTTTGGCTCAGTGGATAAAGCGTTGGCCTGCGGACTGAAAGGTCCCAGGTTGGATTCTGGTCAAGGGCATGTACCTTGGTTGCGGGCACATCCCCAATAGGGGGTGTGCAAGAGGCAGCTGATCGGTGATTCTCTCTCATCGATGTTTCTAACTCTCTATCCCTCTCTCTTCCTCTCTGTGAAAAACCAATAAAAATATATTTTAAAAATAAATAAATAAAAAATAAAATAAATAAGTCCCAATTTTTTATCGGGACTTTTTTAAAACGCCGCGGGACAAATTCTTTTTTAAAATCGGGATGTTCCCGCCAAAAGCGGGACGTCTGGTCACCTTATCAGGGGCTTCTTCTGCAGACATGGGGAACCCGGTTCCTCCTTGAGCGTTGCTTACGTACCTTTTGGCGAAGGAAGGTGGGAGCTGGAGGGGGCATGAAGAACCAGGAGCCTTGGGTTTCCCACAGAAGTCTTTATTCCAGTGTAAATCCAAGCTCAGGCCTCCCCTGGGTCCCATGCAAAGCCCTGGCTTGGGCCCAGCAGCGTCCAGAAGACACCAGCCCCTCCCGGCGCCCCCAGCGTCGGCTGGGTAAGTGCAGGGCGGGTGCCCTCGCTAGACAACTACAAGTACCAGCAGGACCTCGGCCAAGGTGCCTCGCTTTTCCTGGGCTCTTAGAGCAGAGCCTCCTGGGAAATGTAGTCCTAGCCGCTCAGGCAATTAGCGCCTGGTGTGCGTGCTGCAGACACCCGCCCGGACAGGGCTGGGGCTGAGAAGGGAGGAGGGTGGGGATGGAAGGGAGACGGAAGAGAGGTACGGAGGGCTGCGGGGGGGGGGGGGGGGGGGGCAGGCGTCCCGCAGACAGAGACGCCCTTTTTTCATTCGGCTTTGGCTTTGGATCCGGAGACTGAGGCTGCTGCGGAGGCGAGGGCTCCGGTCCCTGGGATCTTAGCTCGGATCCTGAGGGAGAAACAGGTAGAGTCACGTGGGCCAAGACGCTGAGAATTCAGAATGAACAATTCTGAGAACTTAGGAGAGAGCTGAAGGGAAAGCTGGGTTGGGGGGCTAGCTGAGTCCTCAAAGGCTTGCGTTGGAATTGTCTGACATCCTACTCAGCCCCAGGAGACTTAGGGACAGGAAATGAGGAGTTCTCACCGCCCCCCTCCCCCCCATCTCACCCATCTCCATCCCGTGCCCTTACTTAGCTTTGATGTGGCTCAACTGATTGGTCACCAACCCCACATACTGGTCAATCTGGGCCTGGGGAGACCAAGAGAGGATCAAAGGAGAGATTAGAGGGGGGTCCCTCTTCCTAGTTTATGCAGGAGGCTGCTTTCTCCCCCACATCCGAATCAGGGTTTGGGGGGATGGATGACCACCAATCCACTTTCAACTTGAAACCTGACAAAATACCCGGAAAGACAGAAGTTCCAGTGGAAGTGTTGGTTGTTCGGCCACACTCTGTGTGGGGAGTGGTGGCAGGTAGACTGGAGAATTTGACAGTGAGTCTGTTTCCTGGGCATGACTGTTCATCTTTGAGTGAGGGGTGTGTGTGTGTGTGTGTGTGTACAGGAATAGTGTGAAAGTAGCGGCATTACTGTCAGCTGTCATTGGTTTAAATACTAGTTTAATCCGTAGGGTTGGTTGACGTTGAGGTCTGGATGGTTCCAGCATGTAAAGAAGGCAGGACTATCTGGCAGGGACACGTGTTATTTGACTCTCAGCAGCGCTGGAGGAGGGAGTGTCAGTCCCTCTGTCTGTCTCTGGACAGGATGTATGTCAGTTGGCCCTGGTTCTGTCAGCATCCTGGGCAAAAGTCATCCACCGGTTCTGACGGAGACGGCAGGCCCTGGCCATGTTTTAGGGCGTGAGAGTGTCCGTCGGTCCGCCTGGGATGGTGTCCATCAGACCCAGACTACAGTGTGAGGATAGATGGTGTCAGTCTGTCTGTCTGTCTGCAGCTGGAATATGTGTTTGTCCGTCTCTGGTGGTGCCAGAGGGAGAAGGCCTGAACCTGTCCGCCTGTTTCTGGCTGGGATGGGTGTTGTTCCGTCTGAGGCTGTGCCAGGGACAGGAGACATCAGGGAGGCTGACTCCCTGCAGCCAGGACTTGCCCATCAGACCTCAGGTGGAGCATCCGTTACCCACTGCCTTGGGCTGGGGCATGTCCGTCAAGTCCTGGCTCTGTTAGGCCTTGACAATCAAAATACCTATTTCCAGCCGAAACTGGTTTGGCTCAGGACTGAAGGGTCCCAGGTTCGATTCCGATCAAGGGCATGTACCTTGGTTGCGGGCACATCCCCAGTGGGTAGTGTGCAGGAGGCAGCTGATCAATGTTTCTAACTTTCTTTCCCTCTCTCTTCCTCTCTGTTAAGAAATCAATAAAATATATATATATTTTAAAAATGCCTGTCTCTGGCCGTTTAAATGTCTGTTAGACACTCGCTCTATGGAGGGGCAGCAGCCAGCGCACCTGTGGCCGGCTGGGACCTACGTCAGTCAGACGGGGTCTTCTCCTCTTGTCTCTGGTGGGGACATCTGTCAATGGGACCCTGACTGAGGGGGCGCAGCCAGAGCTGCCACACTCACCTGGTGCTGTCGGTACAGCAGGGGGACGGTGAACAAACCAATCACTCCTGTGGGCACAGAGATGGGGGGCGGGCGGTCAGGGTTCTCACGAGAGATCAACAATCCCATCCAGGTCCCCGTTCCCCTCGGACCCACCTCCTCACCCGCCCCCCAGGGCCTTCCCAGCTCACCCAGAATGAGGAGAGTCAAACCATTGAAGACGGCACCCACGAAGGTCAGGATGTAGAAGAGCAGGGCCAGCTGGGGGGGAGGGTCAGGGTCAGGCTGCGAGCTCACCCCGAAATGGCCCTCTTCCCCCCCCCCCAGGGGGAGGATGGAGCATGCTGGGAACCCAGGGGAGGAGGGGGGCTCGGGGCACCTTGAGGGAGTCCACAAGGTCTTCTACCAGGAAGAAATGCCGCAGCTGGGTGGCCGCCGAGACCGCCTGCGAGGCAATCTGCTGGGACAGACGCTCCGTCTGCTCCCGAGTCAGGGTCAGGTCCAAGTCCAGATAGGCCCTGAGGGGGCGCAGGGTGTGAGGTGACTCCATGGGCAGCGGGGGAGGAGAGGAGGGGAGGCCCAGGCTGAGAGGTATGGCTGGAACAAGGGCAAGAAGTGGGGTTTGGGCTGAAACCGGTTTGGCTCTGGTTTGGCTCAGTGGATAGAGCGTCGGCCTTCGGACTGAAAGGTCTCAGGTTCGATTCCGGTCAAGGGCATGTACCTTGGTTGCGGGCACATCCCCAGTAGAGGGTGTGCAAGAGGCAGCTGATCAATGATTCTCTCTCATCGATGTTTCTAACTCTCTGTACCTCTCTCTTCCTCTCTGTAAAAAGTCAATAAAATATATTTAAAAAAAAAAAGAAGAAAAAAGAAGTGAGGTTTGGAGCAAGGCCAGGTGTAGAGGTCTAAGGTCAAGGTCAGGGTCAGGAGAGACGGTCCAGGATGAAGGCTGAGAGGTTAGGATTCCAGGTTAGGGCTGGGAGGGAAGGGTCAGAGCATGGTTTGGTCAGGGGCAGGGGCAGGGGCAGGGGCAGGTTGGAGCCAGGAAGAGGAACAGGACGGGTCAGGACCAGGGTGAGACGCTGGTGCCTGACCTGAGGTCATGGGTCATGACTCAGGGTCAGCACCGGGGTCTGGACAGGCAGGGTTGGGGCCGGGGTTCTCACTGGAAGGGGTTGGCACCGTCGCCCCGGTGCACGGCCTGCAGCACTTTGCGGTAAACCCTGAGAGAGATGGTGCCACAGAGCAGCAGCAGGGCCACGTGGGCGGCCACGGACACGATGCTGAAGTGCAGGAGGCACAGCAGGGAGACCATGAGGCCCGTGAAGACCACGCCGGACGTCTTCGTGTCCTTCCAGTACAGCAAGTCCGCCACTGTGGGGGAGGGGCGCAGTCAGGCCGGGGTTCGGACCGGCCTGGCTGACCTCTTCACCTCCCACCTCCTGTCTCAGGGCCGAGCCATGACCCCTTGACACAGCCCTGTCAGCCTTCACCCAGTTCCCGACATTTCAGTGTCTTCTTTTATCCCATATCGCCTCCCTCTGCTCCTCACGTCTCTTTATCTTACTCCAGGCATAGACTATGTGTGGACCCCATTTTTGGCCATTATTTATGAGAAATGGAATCACATACACACTTTTCTGCATCACACATACCTCGCTCTGTCTTCCCTCCTAGAATTCCCTGCTAGTCAACTGGAATAGCCCTTCATTCATTCTTTTTCATTCAGAGCGGCCGCAATTCTCTGAAGTGTAGCTTCCTTGTCCTTGTTTCCAATCATATAATTATTGCCGGGCCATTCCCTGTTCCCCACCCTCCTTCCCATAACAGTGCTGCCAGCACCAGCCTTCTACAGATCTCTCTTCCTGAGAGAGAACCCCGGGGGAACGGCTGGCTGGGGGATGTCACACAGGCTGTCAGGAGGCTTACTAGCAGGACTGTAACAATGCTCATTTTCACTAGCAGCGGGATGGGGATCTTTCCCCAGCATGCTGCCCGGCCGTGGGTGTCCCTGCTCTTTATACTTTGGGGCAACCTGATCGTGTAAAGTGATATCCCTGCCAGCACGTTGTTCTGAGTCCCAAATGTATTAAAAGCACCATCCTCCTTCCTCAGCCCTCACCCAATTTTCTGACCGCTTTCTGGTCCAATCGGTAACCTCCAGACCCAATGTTTCACCTCAACCACATACGCTGCATCCGCCTCCCCATAATCCGCTCCCATCTGAGCCCTGAACCAGGATCCCAGACCCTTCCACGCTGCTCTCCATCCTCTCACCCTCGCTCCAGTCAAACTCTGACAGTTCTTAGAGTCTGACTCCCCTCGCATCCTCCCGGTACACACCTCCCATCCACCTTTAACTAGGGCAGGCCACCCCCACACCCCGGCGCAGGGGCCTCCCCCGCAGGCTCCCCAAGGCCCGCGCCAGCCGCTGGGGGAGGGGCCGGGTCGCCCGAGGCGGGGGCTAAGTTTAGGCCCGCGGGGGGGGGGGGGGCTGGCCCGCAGCTGTGCTGGCCCGTCCGACTGCTGAGTGACAGCGCCGCCTGGGCCCGAGGCTGGGGGGAGGGCGCCTCCCTGCTCTCAGACTCCAAAGCCCTGTCTTGGGGGAAGAGGGTACCCCACGCTCCCTCCACGCTCTCCCTCGACACCCCCAAACCGCCCCCAGCCTCAGCCTGCAGCCTGGAGAACCCGGGACCGATAGGGATCATCCTCCCAGATTTGGGGGCGGTGGGGAATCTGGATCCCTCTCCGCCTTCCCCCAGCCCCAGCCCGCCCGCCCCGCAGGCCCACCTTTACTCCCCATCTCCGCTCCGAGGGAAGGGCTGCGGACACCACCGCTTTCCGGGGCTTTTGCCCACTTCGGCGGAGCCCGGAGGGAGGGGGCAGGGGGGGCGGGGCCCCGTGTCCCCGGCCAATGGCTCGCCGCGGAGGTGGGGACGACTCCGAAAGGGGGCGGTTCTCTCTGTAAACAGCCGGAGCCCCGGGGTCTGCAAGCGGTTCGCGGAGGCTGAGCGCATCTTAAAGGACGGCCGCGTCTGTTGGCCGCCGGCTGGCGGATGTGGTCAGGGAGAGGAGAGTGTGTGAAAGGCACAGGGTTTTTGTACGTGTCCTACGGCCACATCCAGAAGACAGCTGTATTTTTCCTGGGATCTGGCCTGTCCAAAATCAGCCTCTAGGGGGAGCACTCCAAAAGAGGGATTTCCTCCCCCAAGCAATGAGCCCATCCTAACGCTAGCAGGGCTTACTTGCCAGTGGAAATTTATATTTAAAAAGCCCATGGCAATCTTAGATAATGGGCATTCAAAGGGCGGAATTAACATGTCCAGCCAACAGTAATGCCTTCTCCCTTCTCCACCCTCCATTCCTTCGCGAAGTTGGTCCCTACAAATTGCAACCCTCGCCCTAGCTGGTTTGGCTCAGTGCAGGGCATCAGCTTGTGGACTGAAGGGTCCTGGGTTCGATTCCAGCCGGGGGCACATGCCTGGGTTTCGCTACAGGAGGCAGCCAATCAGTGATTCTCTCTCATCATTGATGTTTCTAGCTCTCCCTCTCCCTTCCCTAAAATCAATAAAATATACCAGAAAAAACGAAGGAGCGCCTTCACGCAAGCAGTTTACCTAGAGGGTGTGGTTCCAGCATGAATTCTGATTGGTCCGTGCTAACAAGGCACTGCCCCGTGATTGGCTCCCGATCCAGCTGCCCCCTAGGCTCTTCCTCTTTCTCGTCCAGCGAGGGCTCGGCAGGCCACGAGTTCGAATCCCCAGATCCAGGTGGGGACGGGGTTCGCGCCTGGGGGGTCCCAGAGCCAGGGCTGGATTGTGGAGTCAAGGCTCCGGGCGGCGAGGACTGAGCGAATCCGAGCTGAAGGTCCAGTTCTGGCGCGTTAGAGAGAGAAGGCCATGAGCTTGCACCTTGGAGGTGCCCTGAGAAGAGACTCAGTGCCCGCCCCTCGCGCCTGGACCCAGCACGTGGGGACAGCTCACCTTTCCCAGCCCCTCTGGCCTCGGACCCGTCGGGCTCCTCGTCCTCCAGCGGCGTGGAGCTGCTGGTGGCGGAGTCCTCCCCGGACCCCGCGCCCCGGGCCTCCCAGTCCAGCTGGTCCAGCCGGAGCCCCAGGCCCTCCGGGGCGCGCTGGGCCTGGGGACCCGCGTCGGGGTCTCCCCGGCGCACGGGCTCCGGGGACTGGCTCAGGCTGGGGATGCTCTCCAGGCTGTCGCCCAGGCCGGGCTGGGGGGCTGGGTCTCTCGTTTCTGAGACGGAGCGGCCCTGGGGCCGGGGCCGGCGGGCAGCGGAGTCCCGGCGCGCCCCGGGGCCCACCGCGCCGTCGAAGGCGATGTAGGAGAAGGTCAGCTCCCGGGGGGTGCCCCAGTCCTGCGACGTGGTCTCCTCCTCATCGTCCTCCGAGAACTCCCGGGCTGTGTGCAGCTCCCGGAAATCCGAGTCGTCGTTCCCTCCTGCAGTGAGCAAAGGAGGGCGTGAGCTCCTCCTCCTCCTCCTCCTCCTCCTCCTCCTCCTCCTCCTCCTCCTCCTCCTCCTCCTTCTCTTCCTCTTCCTCTTCGGACCCTGACCGCTCTCCTCAGCCCCCTGCCCAGCTATGAGCCTCTTTCAGGTAGCATTTTCACGTCCCGACCCCCCCCCTCCACACACACACACACACACACACACTTACCTTCCGTGGAGTCAGGGGTGGAGGAGGCTGTGGATGGAGCTTCTTCTGGGAGAGGGGAGGAAAAATAAAAGATTCTTAGAAGTTTAGCCGAAACCGATTTGGCTCAGTGGATAGAGCGTCGGCCTGCGGACTGAAAGGTCCCAGGTTCGATTCCTGTCAGGGGCATGTACATTGGTTGTGGGCACATCCCAGGTGGGGGGTGTGCAGGAGGCAGCTGGTTGATGTTTCTAATTCTCTATCTCTCTCTCTTCCTCTCTGTGAAAAATCAATAAAATATATAATTTTTTTAAAAAGGATTCTTAGAAGTTTAGACTGAATCACTGGAGTGTGCTGGTCCTGGAAACTTGGATGGTCAGAGTTAAGGAATCCTAGAATATTTGAATCCCAGGGCCTTTACATTTGCACACAGACTGTAAAGCCTAATTTGTTTCTTTTTTTAACTATAGTTTTATTGACTTCAGAAAGGAAGGAAGAGGGAGAGAGAGAGAGAGACCATGAATGGTAAGAGAGAATCATTCATTGGCTGCCTCCTACACACCCCACACTGGGATTTCAGTGGTGGAATCCAGCCCCTCACAGCATGTGCCCCGACCAGGAATGGAACTGTGACCTCCAGGTTCAAAGATTTACACCCAACCACTGAGCCACACTGGCTGGGCAAAGCCTAACTCATTTCTTTTTTAAAATATATATAATTTATTGATCTTTTACAGAGAAGAAGAGAAAGGGATAGAGAGTTAGAAACATCGATGAGAGAGAATCATCGATCAGCTGCCTCTTGCACACCCCCTACTGGGGATGTGCCTTCAACCAATGTATTATACATGCCCCCGACCAAAATCGAACCTGGGACCCTTCAGTTCGCAGACCGACGCTCTATCCACTGAGCCAAACTGGTTTCGGCAGCCTAACTCATTTCTATCGGAAGCTCAGTCTTAGAAGTTCAAGTCCAGGAACCCTAATTTCACTCTTCAAATTAGGAATTTTAGGAGCTATCAATTCACTCATTCTTTCAACAACCATTTGATGAAAGCCTGCTATGTGCTGGGCACTGTTTTAACCCCAAGGATACAACTGCGAACAATACAGACAAAATCCCTGCCCTCAAAAGCTTATAGAGGAGACAGACAACAAACAAGTAAATATATGACGCTGGTGCTTTAAGAGTGAGGAGAAAAAAGCTTGATAAGGGAAGAGACCCTGAGAGGGTGTGAGAAGACTTCTCTGATAAGATGACATTTGAGTAGAGGTCTGAATGAAGTGAAGAATCCATGCAGGTATTTAGGGCAGGATCTTCCAGGCAGACAGAAAAGCTCAGGGCAAAGGCCCTGATGCAGGCATGTTTGAGGAAAGAGAGGAGCAAACGTGAGCTTGGAGCAGGATGACTGAGGGGAAGAAGGGTGGGAGATGAGGGATGATAAACAGGGTGGGAGATCATATAGAGGGAGATCACCCATTATAAGCCCAGTAAAGACCGTAGAATTTGGGTATGATACTCAAAAATGTTGAAATAACAAATTCTTGGAATTTTGGCATCTGGACTTCCCAGACATGCCATTGGCTAGACCTGAGCGTGCGGAAACCCCCAGCTGTCAGGACCACTGGAGTGCGGGACAGAATGCGAGACCAGGACTACCAGAGCCAGGGCTCAGAGACCGCGAGGGTCAGACCAGGCGCCTCTAGGTGTGGAATCCAGCCCCTCACAGCTACCGAGCTCAGGCTCTGCCTGCGGGAGATGCTCAGTGCCCTTTGGAAACGGCAGTCAGCCGCCTTCCGCTCCCATCTGTCTCCTTAGCCGGGGGGTGGGATGCCAGGCGTCAGAGGGCCGGAGCAGAGTGAGTCTCTTCCAGGGTTACTACTAACCATCGATAAAGCCTGGAGGGACCCAGAGTCCTCGCCCCAACCCAGGGGAAGGAGGTTGAACACTGTGGGCGAGGTCGGGCTGCCTGTGAGTTAGGGTAGAAGACAGAGGTGGGATGCGAAGGTGGGTGATGGGGAGGGGGGGGCCGGTCAGACCTCTCTTTTCCATCCTGGTTCTATCTTTCCACCCAACCGCCCTCCCCGCCCGCCCGCTGCGGCCAGCACCAGGCGCGGGGACAGCTCCCGGCAAACGTCCGCATCCCGGGGCGAGGCCTGGCCGCCCATCCCAGTGCCAGGGCCCAGTTAATCCCAGTGCCCCCCAACTCTGCCCTGTGCCACTCAAGTCCTCCGGGTCGGGTCGCCCCCGTGGCCGCTAGATCGCGGGGGGAGGGAGGGGAGAGCATCCTTTGTCTCCGTCACCCCCTCCCCCATCCCTGCTTTCCCGCGGCGGGGTGGTGCGGACAGGATCCAGGGAGGAGCCCACCCGGGCCTCCGGGCCCCACACCAGGCCGGGGCCTGCCCCTACTCACTGCAGTGGGCGAAGACCGGCAGGACCTGCCCCATGGCCCCCCTCGGGCCTGCATCGGGACCCCCGCCCACTCCGGCCACGCCGTCCTGGGCCTGGGGCCGCGGGCACTCATCTCCACCGAGCCCACCGCGCCGCCGCCATCCCTGCCGCCGCCGCCTCCTCCTCCTCCCGGGCTGCTCCCGCCGCCGCCGCCGCCCTGTGCTCGGCTCGGCGGGGCGGGCGGGGCCGCGGCGGGGAAGGCGCTGCAGCGCGGAGCTGGGGGCGGGGCCGGAGGGCAGGGGCGGAGCCTGAGGGCGGGAGGGGCGGGGCAACACCAGGGGAGGGCGTGGCTTCTGTCCTAGCGGAGCGGGGCTAGGAGGGTAAGGCATGGGGCGGACCAGTGGGTAAAGGAAAGGGCGGAGTCCAGATGGAAGGGGCGCGGCCTGCAGGGAAGCGGTGCGGAGCCTAGGGTTGGGTGAGGGGCTGGGGACAGAATGCTGGGGGCACGGGTCTCAGAGCAGCGGAGTTGGGGGGTGGCATTGAGGAGAAGTAGGATCTGAGTCTGGATTTTCAGAGGGAGAGGGAAAGGGAGGGGATAGAAACTACCCAGAAAGTTTTGAGACCAAGGGAGGAGCTCAGCCGAAACCGGTTTGGCTCAGTGGATAGAGCGTCTGCCTGCAGACTGAAAGGTCCCAGGTTCGATTCTGGTCAACGGCATGTACCGTGGTTGCCGGCGCATGCAAGAGGCAGCTGATCCATGTTTCTCTCTCATCGATGTTTCTAACTCTCTATCCCTCTCCCTTCCTCTCTGTAAAAAATCAATAAAATATATTTTTTTAAAAAGAGCTCAGACAAGAGTGGGGCTTAAGCCGATTTATAATTACATATTCCCATAGTTGGGCGGGCTAAAGAGGGGAATAGGAGACGCGGCACGGGAGGGGCGTGGCCTGGGGTGGGCGTGGTCTGCGGGTAGGAGGCGGGATTAGAGGCGGGGCCAGGACTGAGGCTATTAAGGGTTTGAGACTGTGGGATTGCATGAGTCTCAGGACCAGGAAAAGAAGCATCCGAAGTCCGGGGTCGACACCCAGAAGCGGAGAGGTCGAGCTAAAAAAATAAAAATAAAGGATTTAAAGATTTAAAAACGGGGGTGAGGCCACTGAGATGACTGGAGCTTGGACGGAACAGGGCTGGGGTGGGGTCGGGGGGACTGAAGCCAAGAACGTGGTGTGGAGAACATGGATTCTAGAGTTCGTGTCCCCGCTGGTCCTGCGACTCAGTTTCCTCTTCTGTAAATCGGAAATGACGATGCTCTGGTACAATAGTGTGTAACACATGGTGAAGGTGAATGCTAGTTGCTATTATTTTTCCCTGACCCTGACCCCAAACCTCTCTTTGCAGGTGGGAGAGAAAGGACGACTCAGTGAGTAGTCCAATCTCTCTCAGTGACTCGACTTGAGCGCAGATCAAGGGCAGAGCAAGGCGATTCGGTGGTTTAAAATCTCACTGTGGAGGGAATTAATGCAGTGCGGGGGGCGGGGGGCAGGTGCAGAGGGTGGAGCCTTCCGATCCCAAGGCTGAAGGATGGCGGCCCTTGCCCGCCTTCTGGCGCGTCTGCTCTGGCCAGCGCAAAGGGAGAGGGGGCAGCGGAGGAGGAGGGGCGCAGGGCTCCCCACGGGCCTCGCCCGGTTCCTCCCGGACGCCCCGCGATGCGCTCGGCGGCCGCACGGGGGTGAGCGCGGCGCAGGTCGGCGCGCACCTGGAGGACGGCAAGGCGCTGGGCTCGGCGCCCCCGGGGCGGGGCTGTCCTCCACGGCCACGGCGGGGCGCCACTGCCCGGCCACGTGCTCTGAGGCGTTGGGCTCGGCGTCTGGCGAGCCAGAGGGCGTGTGCGGGGGCTTAGCCTGGCTTTCTTTCTTTTTTTCTTTTTTTTTAATTGATTTTTTTACAGAGAGGAAGGGAGAGGGATAGAGAGTTAGAAACATCAATGAGAGAGAATCATCGATCAGCTGCCTCTTGCACACCCCCAACTGGGGATGTGCCCGCAACTGAGGTACATGCCCCTGCCCGGAATTGAATCGGGGACCATTCAGTCCACAGGCCAACGTTATATCCACTGAGCCAAATCGGACTCGGCAGGATCCTCTGCTCTTGAATGTTTCTCTTGGAAGCATGTAATCCAGCCCCCTCACACACACACCTCCTTTAGCGATAGGGAAATTGAGGTCAAAGGGGACAAGGGACTTGCCTGATATACTAATACATTCTCACTCCCGGCTGGAAACATGGTGCGAGGTGTAACGGGGAAGCAGAGCAGAAGAGACTGCTTCCCCTCCAACAAATGCGCCCCCTGCAATGCTCTGCGAAGCCCCATCCTTCCAAGCACCGCCCCCTCCATCCAGGAATAAGGCAGAAACAGCAAGGAATGTTGGGGACCAGGCCTGGATGCACTGAGGCCAGGATATCCCGGAGGATGGTCTGGATCTCGGAGGGAGCTTGCGAATTGGGCCTAGACGGCCTAAGAGAAGTGGAGGTGTCCAAAGAGGCGGGACACACACACACACACACACACACACACACACACACAAAGGCAGGGGTGAGGCGGGGCTCAGAGTGGACACGGGAAGGAGGAAGCTGGGGCCAGAGGCTTTTGCGGAGCAGCAGAGGGAGTTTGGTTATTTCCGCTTAGAGGAGGGCGGTCGTTGCTAGTTTCTGAGCATCAGAAGGAGGAGGTATTTGTCAGACTTGTTTGAGTTGTGAGTGACAAACCCAATTCAATCCAGAAAAAGCAAAACAGGGAATGTATTGGGCCATGTAATTGCAGAGTTCAGGGACTTAAGGCGTGACTGTGTCCAGTTGTCAGATGATGTCATCAGGAACCGTCTCTTAGTTTTATTTCCTCCGAATTGGTTTCAATCCCAGTCGGGGTCTGAGCTCAAGGTAGCAAAGACTTGCAGCTTCAGCCTCACATCCCATGAGCTTAGCATCCTCAGTGGAAAGAAGGCACCAGTTTCCCAGTCGTTGCAGCAATGGTTCAATGGTTCCAGAGCTGGTTTCATCGGCCGCCCTGGGTCACATGCCCGCCAGTCACTGTGTCTCTCACTGGCCAGACTGTGGTCATAAGCCCATCCCAAGGGAGGGCTTAGGGTTGGGGGTCCAGTGCATCCAAATCTGATGGATTGAGAGATGGGGGATGCTGGTCCCCTCAAAGGGAAATAGGAGTGGTGTTCCCAGAATATAGGGGAGTAGATACTGAGAGCCTGGAGGGGGTGTCTGTTCACCATCTCATATTTTATGTCACAGAAGGTATAGAAAGAGGCTGGGAAGGCCCCTGGCACCCATTCCCTCTGCCTTGGACTTCAGGCCTGACAGCTGTCGTCTTTAGGGGGTTCCCCCCTCCCCCCCCATTGTCCTTTGGGGCCCTAAGGGAACTTAGAAACCTCCCCTTCCTCAGCTACAAAGAACAGCGGAAGGAAGAAGAGCTGATGGAGGAACCCCAGAAGGTCTATTTCCCCTTCTCCTACTTCCCTCTCGAAAAAGTGTCTTATGAGAGGGGAAATTCCACTCGCCATCTACATGGAAACTCCCCCCCAAACCAAACCTCTAAAGCTGAATGGATCCTGAAAGATCACCCGGTTCAATAACCTGCTCTCCCCTTTCTCATCTGTTAGGGAGGAGCCAGGGGAGACTTTGTTATTATTAAGTTAAAATTACATAATTCAAGATACATTTTTCTTGTAGAAAAGAACATACACCCCCCCCCCCCCAACCATCGTTTGCCCAGTCATTTGGCAAACATATTGGGCACCTGCTCACAGCCGTCAACCAGGGGCCTCACTGAGATTCCTATCTATTCTCTGGGCCCACCTCCTAGTATGAGTGTGTGTGTGTGTGTGTGTGGGGGGGAGACAGCAAACAAGGGAACCGATAAATAAGGTCATCTCAGACACTGACAAGTGTCCCAAGGAAAATAAAACAGCGGGTGTGATAAGAAAAGCTACCCTTACCTTGGTTTTTAAAAATTGCTATTCGTTGTTTTGTTTTTTGTTTTTTTGAATGGTAGTAAGTTCCCACGGTTCAAATTCAAGGGTACAAAAAGGCATAAAATGAGCTGAAACCGGTTTGGCTCAGTGGATAGAGCGTCGGCCTGCGGACTGAAAGGTCCCAGGTTTGATTCCGGTCAAGGGCATGTACATTGGTTGCAGGCACATCCCCAGTGGGGGGTGTGCAGGAGGCAGCTGATCGATGATTGTCTCTCTCATTGATGTTTCTAACTCTCTATCCCTCTCCCTTCCTGCCTGTAAAAAATCAATAAAAATATATTTTAAAACAAAACAAAACAAAAAAGCATAAAATGAGAAACCTTGCCCTAGGCGGTTAGGCTCAGTGGATAGAGTGCCGGCCCCAGATAGACTGAAGGGTCCCAGGTTTGATTCCCGCAAAGGGCACAGGCCCAGGTTGCAGACTGGATCTCCAGTGGGGGGCGTGCAGGAGTCAGCCGATCAATGATTCTCTCATCGTGTTTCTATCTCTCCCTCTCTGAAATTAATAAAAATATATTTTAAACAAACAAATAAATTGAGAAGTCTTTCTCCATCTCCATCCCTCAGCCCCCGGGGATGGATGCTGTAGACAGGGGGATCAGTCTGGGAATATGAGCAGAGATCTGACAGAGAAGCAGCCGCCATATAAATACTCCAGGGAAGTGTCCTAAGACAGACCAGTGAGAAAGCCTAGAGACAGGATCAAACTTGGTGTTATCTTAAAAAAAAAAAAAAATTGGCCGGGACTGGTTTGGCTCAATGGATAGAGCGTCGGCTTGGGGACTGAAGGGCCCCGGGTTCGATTCTGGTCAAGGGCATGTACCTTGGTTGCGGGCATATCCTCAGTAGGGGGTGTGCAAGAGGCAGCTGATCGATGACTCTCTCTCATCAATGTTTCTAACTCTCTATCTCCCTCCCTTCCTCTCTGTATAAAATCAATAAAAAATATATTTAAAAAAAATTGATTTGAGAGAGAAACATTGGTTTTTTGTTTGTTTGTTTTGTTCCACTTATTTATGCATTTATTGGTTGATGCTTGTATGGGCTCTGACAGGGGATCAAATCCTTGGCATATTGGGACAATACTTGGACCAACTGAGCCTGGCTAGGACTTGAACTTGGCATTCCCGGGATGAGGCTTGAGATGTCTATGACCATCGAATACTCCACAACCCCATTCCCTACCCTGTTGGTAACCACGGCCATGAGTTTGGGTGGATTTTTTCCAGACCTTTGATTCTGCATACACACCCATGCAGATGGTATCTTAGGTGCTTCCTTTATCCTATGTAGCATTTGGCAGTTTTCGTTTTTCCACTCAGTGACATGGTGGGGACTACTTTCATGCCATTTGCACTCCTCATTCTTTTTATTATTTTTATTTAAAAATACATTTTATTGATTTTTTACAGAAAGGAAGGGAGAGGGATAGAGAGCTAGAAACATCGATGAGAGAGAAACATTGACCAGCCGCCTCCTGCACACCCCCCACTGGTGATGTGCCCTGACCAGAATCGAACCTGAGACCTTTCAGTCCACAGACCAACGCTCCATCCACTGAGCCAATCCGGTTTTGGCCATCCTCCTCTATTTTTAAGTATGTTTTATTGATTTTTTACAGAGAGGAAGAGAGAGGGATAGAGAGTCAGAAACATCGATGAGAGAGAATCATCGATCAGCCGCCTCTTGCACACTCCCCACTGGGGATGTGCCCGCAACCAAGGTACATGCCCTTGACCGGAATCGAACATGGGACCTTTCAGTCTGCAGGCCAATGCTCTATCCACTGAGCCAAACTGGTTTCGGCTGGCCATCCTCCTTTTGATGGACCTGTAGGCTATTTCCAATTGCTTTGCCCTCACATCACTGTTGCCATCAGGATCTTGGTCAGGCTCCTTTTGTACATTTGCAAGGGTTTCTCGTGCATTAGTCTTGCTACCTGTTTTACACAAGAATGGTTTTTACATTTTAAAGGGCTGTAAAAAACATATGAAAGGGACTCTAATATGCCTAAGATATCTACTAGAAAAAGTTTGCTGACTGCAGTGCAGGTGGCACACAGAAGCACCACCCTCCCATTTCACAGATGGAAAAGCTGAGCCTCAGAAAGGACTTGCCCCAGGTCACACTGGAGTTCTGCCTCAGTTGAAGATGTGTGTGTTGAAATGCTGTCCTGGGCTTGGCTGAGTGAGTGAGGCACCGAAATAGGTGAGGTCTACACCTACCAGTTCCCAAAGAACGCACAGCCTGAGGAGACACACAGAGAAGCAATTCTAACGCAGGGGGCCAGGGTTCAAGGGCTCCCAGGGCGAGATGCAGAGAAGCACGAACGAATGTCAGCACAAGGCCTAGAAGCAGGAGGTGAGGTCAGGGCAGCGCCCGGGCAGAGGGTCTGGCTTGGACAAAGGCTGGGAAGGCAGATTTGCTCACCTGGTCACCTGGACCCTGAGTATTGTTTGTTTTACATCCGCACCAAGCACCCCTAGCTCTGGGATGCAGGCCAGGGGGCTTATAGCCCAGCTACAGTTCCCGCCTCCAGGCCTCCGTCCGTCCCCCCATTAGTAACCGGCAAACGGATGGAGGACCGGGCGCCGCACCCCGGCCAGGTGGCTGTCGGGGGCGGGGCCTCTGGGTGACGTCAGGGGGCGGGGCGGCGGGACCCGCTGCGGAAGCTGCGGCGGGTGTCGGGGCTCAGCCGCTGCCGGCGCCTGTGGGGGGAAGGGGGTACCCGGGAGCGGGTACCGGGAGGGTCGCTCCGCCTTCGTGCCCCCCAATGGCGGGAGGATCTTGCCGTTCTCCGCGGGCAGGGCTGAGTGACGGCGGGGCATGCGTGGGGAGGGAGCCGGGGCTTCATCCCCCCCCTGGAACCCGGCGCCTCCCCGCCACCAGGTCCCGCCGCACCCCACCCCCCGCCGCACCCCACCCCCCGCGGCTGTGAGTCACGGCGGCCGCGCCCCCTCGGCCGCTTCCTCTCACCTTCCCGGCCGGCGGGGGGCGGGGTCCCCCCTCCCTGCGGGGAGGAGGGCTCCCCTTTAGCAACCCCCCCAATTGGCGGAGGAGAGACACGTTTGGGGGGTAGAAGGGGGGATTTAAGGGAGGAATCTGGAGGGTCCGCCTTGCCCCCTCCCCAGAGCGAGCAGAGAGCAGAGAAATGGAGAAGCGGGTGGGAAGGGTGCTAACTCATTGTGCCCCGTGGAGATCCCCCTGAGAATCCCCATCGTGGGGAGAGCCGGGATCCCTTCCCCTCCTCCAGCTTCCCCCTCGTGTGAGAGGGACCCGGCGGCAGCCCGCGCGGCAACGCCGGGGTGTGAGGGGCTCGGCGTCGCCTCTCCAGCGCCCTCCGCCCCGCCCGCCGCCGCCGGCGCGGCCCCTTTAAGGCGCGGGGCACTGTGGGTAGGGGCGGAATTCGGAGCGGAGGGAAGTACGGGAGTGAGAGTAACACCGCAGCCGCCGGCGCCGCGGGACGCCGCGGGGGCACGCCGCACCCCTTTCTGCCGCGGGGACCCCGATCCGAACCCCCAGAGCGGGGAGGTGCCCGAGGACCCGCCCCGGCCCGGTCCACGTTTTCCCCAGGAAGCCGGACTCTATGGGGCGGGACCCCGGGGGAGACTGAGCAGCACCCGGAGCCAGCCCTGAACCCCTGAACCTCGATCCAGGGGCGCCCCGTCCTGTGGGCGCGCCGCCCTCCCGCGGAGCAGCCATGAGGTGAGCCTGCAGAGCCTCCAGCCCCTGCCCCGCCGGCGCGGCCCCCCGCCCCGCCTTTGTCCCCCCCCAACTCGCTCCGGGCTGGGATTTGGGGACCGGGCGCCGGGCGCCTCGGGAGTGAGGCCGGTCCCCCTTGGAGGAGCTCCCAATTCCGACCACTTCGCCCCCTGACTCCCAAGCTTCGCCGTGGTGCCGGCGGGGTTCTCCTGGGAGCCCTCCGGTTTGGGGGCGTCCCGAGGACTCCCGGATTTGTAAGACTTTTCCGGAGGCCCTCCCAAGTTGGCAGGGACTCCCCGCAGGGGGGCCAGGCCTCAGGCAGTTCTCAGAATGCCCCCCAAGTCTCAACTCGGGCTCCGAGAGGGTTTGTGGGGGCCGGTTTGTGGGGCTCCCCTTTACGTGGCGCTGGGAAGCCTCCCCGTGTGGGACTCGCTCCTTAACTTCGGGGACACGGCGGCCCCTCCAAGCGGAGGGCTCCCCCTTTGCCGGGCGTCGGAGGGGGCGGCCCCGGGCGCAGCCTGGAGGCTGGGGGGACGCCCCTCCCCCGGCGCCCCGGCCCCGCCGCGCCCCGGGCCGAGGGAGCGGGACCGAGCGGGTCCGAGGGCGGCGCCCGGCCCCGGCCCCGGCCCGCTCCCCACCTGCGGGCGCGGGGCGGGGGGCGGGGGCCTTTGTCTTCCGGGCTCACCTGTCGAGACAGCTGGCGTGCGGGGCGGGGGCCGGGGCGCCGGGGCCGGGCTCCCCCCTCCCCCCGGTCCCCAGCCTCCCCTCCCCCTCCGGCCGCGGCTGCGGGGCGGGAGGAGGGGGCGCGGGGAAGCGTCAAGGTCACCGCGCCCCCCTGGGACCCAGGCTCCCCAGATCGCTCCCGCCATCTGCCCCCGAATTTAACCCCGGGGTGTGTGTGTGGGGGGCAGGGGCAGGGACTCGGGGTTTTGTCTCACCCTGGCCTCCCCAAAACTCCCGGGCTCACCTGAGGGCGGGGTCGTGTGGGCTGGGGGGACCGGACCGGATCCCCCCGTTCTCCTTCCCCCCGGCCCCCCATCACCTTCCCCCGTGGCCGGAGTCAGACAATGCTATCTCCCTTCCTCCACTCTCCCCGGACTTCCTGCCCCAAGACCCCGGCTGCAGGGGAGGCCTCCGGGGACAGCTGGCATTAACCCCGCGGTGCCCACGTCCTCCGCCCCCCGCGCCCTGCCCTCCGGCATCAGGGGGCGCTCCCTCTGGGGCCCTGGGAGAGCCCGCCGCCCGCGTTTGTTCCTTCTGCTGGGAAAGGGGTGGCCGGAGAATTTGGGACAAGGGGGCACCCCCAGATACCGCCCCGACTTCCTGCCTCCCCTTCCTCCCCTTAGAGCAACATCCCCGGACCCAGGGCAGATCCGGGGAGCCGGGCCCCCTTCCCGCACCCTCTTCCCCGGGGAGCCCTCTCTCCCACCGGCCCCGGCCCGCCCCCTGCCCCCCGCCCCCCACGTTTCCGGTCCCAGGCACCGGGGAAGGCGGATGGCGGATGTCCGAGTTAGTGCTGCCTCACTCCCTGAGACCGTAAAAGGGCAGGAGCAGTGTCTGGGCCGGCCTCCCACCCCCACCCCCACCCCAGCCCAGGCCCGAGGCCCCCGCCCCTCCACAGGCCCCACCGCAGGCCCCCTCCTGCTGGTGGAGGCCCAGCCTCCCACCTGGGGAGGGGCCAAAGCTGAGCTGGGGGTGTCCCCCCAGGGGGTTGCTTCCCTTCCTGAGGGGGGTCTTCCTTGTCACTGGCCACACCCCACTGTCTGGGCTGTGCCTCTTCTCCCAAGACAGCTAGGGTTCACACTCACCCAGGCCACCCAGCTGGGGAAACTGAGGCTCAGAGAGCCGGGTGGAGCAAGATGCATCAGACATTCCTAGGCAGACTTGAGGGAGAAGAGCAGACCAGGATCCTTTGATTGCTGGCTGGTTGGGATGGTGACAGTCTTGGGGGGCAGTTGGGAGAGAGGATGTTAAGATGGAAAATTACAAGATAAAAGCTCCCCCCCCCCCCCCCCCCAGTTTGGCAAATATTTGTTGAGTGTCTAATGCGTCTTAGACTCTGCACTGGGATTCCGGGAGAGCAGGAGGCCGGCGGAAGTCTGAGGCCCTCGGGGCAGAGGCCGCTAAAGAAGGATTTGGGTTCATTTCTTTCTCTTCCAGCAGTGGTCATTGCTCTTGTTTTTAGTTTACAAAATTGTGAGACCACTTGGTCAGCAATCTGCTTTGTGCAGACACTGTACTAGGTAGCTAATTCAGTGTAATCCTCAACAGCAATTCTGAGAGAGAGATATGCCGTGACTGCCCCACCTCCCAGTTTACAGATGGGGAAACTGAGGCATGGACAAATGAAGCAGATGGCCCAACAGTTTGGAAGTAGGCAAGCTGAATTTGAACTCAGGACTGACTCCAGAGTATTATGCTAGTAAAGAAAAAGGAAAAGAAAACCTTTAATGTTCATATATATGTATCTATACATCAAACACACACACACACACACACACACACATATATATTTAATTGATTTCAGAGAGGAAGGGAGAGGGAGAGACAAAAACATCAGTGATCGGCTGCTTCCTGCACCCCTCACACTGGGGATGGAGCCCACAATCCGTGCATGTGCCCTGACCGGGAATCAAACCATGACCTCCTGGTTCATAGGTCAGCGCTCAACCAGCGAGGCTTAGCGGTCTTTTAAAAATATATAGGTAACACTCTTTCACTGTGTGAACAGTTAACGCAGATACGAAGAAAGAACCTTTACTTTCTTGTTCGCTTATAGGAGACAGACTGGTCAGGGAAGAGGGACTGGACGGAGCCTGCACCGGCCCCACAGACCCTCGATCTGGTCCCTATTGCAGGGCTGCTTGAAAGAGCAGTCGCTTGGGAAGGTGTGTGGGTGCTGGCAGTGAGGGTCACACGGTGTATGGTGTAAGGCAGCTATGGGGGAAGTCTAGGGCACAGAAAAGCAAGCCTCTGACCCGGAAGGTTGACGTAACCCGAGTGACTCTGCTTGATTGCCTCCAGCGATGGGAAGCTCTCTCCCCTGTTTTGACCCTCAGCTTCCTTATATGGAGCCTGGGCTTTAGGGTTTTTCTTATCTCTTTGAAGTGTTGCAGCAAACCACTGAGTGATGGTTCCCAGGCTGGAAACAGAGGCTCAGAGAGGTGAAGTCACAGGCACCCTCTCCCATCCACCACCGCTTGCTAGAGTTTTCCAGAATGTGGGGACCTGTGGCGAAGGGAGGGTCCCGCGTTGGCTCCCTAAGAGTCCAACCTCAGCCGCAGCTTCCTGGCTGTGGGGTTTTCTGTTGCAGGTTCTGCCTGGTTTATAGTTTCAGTGTTTGAACGTAAGTAATGAATGAGTTTTTTCTAGGTAATACCGACCTGCAGTGAAAAAAAGAGAGAAAGATAGAATCAAGCCCTAGCCGGTTTAGCTCAGTGGATAGAGCGCCAGCCTGCGGTCTAAAGGGTCCCGGGTTCGATTCTGGTCAAGGGCACACGCCCAGGTTGCAGCTTGACCCCCAGTGGGGGGGCGTGCAGGAGGCAGCCCATCGATGGTTCTCTCTCATCACTGATGTTTCTCCCTCCCTGTCTGAAATCAATAATAATAATAAAATAATCAAACCGTTTTAAAAAGTAAAGAGTGCGACGTGTCCATTTCCTCCTTCCTCAGGTCCCCAGTGCCCGTCCTGGAGGCAGACACTGTTAGGCTCCAGAGAAGCTGCAAAAATCACCACATCTCCTCCCCACCTTCCTTAAAAACCTCTGATACCACCACTTCAGCCCTGGCTTTTTCAGATTTTAGCTTAGCTGTTTCCTCACCCTTCAATGAGGTTAAGAACTTAGGCGGAGCCGTAACCGGTTTGGCTCAGTGGATAGAGCATGGGCCTGCAGACAAGGGTCCCAGGTTCAATTCCGGTCAAGGGCATGTACCTTGGTTGCGGGAACCTCCCCAGTGGGGGGTGTGCAGGAGGCAGCTGATCGATGTTTCTGTCTCGTTGATGTTTCTAACTCTATCTCTCTCCCTTCCTTCCTCTCTGTAAAAAAATCAATAAAATATATCTTTAAAAAAATAAAAAAGAGCTTGGGTGGACGCTGTGTGACCTGGGACCAGTGTCTTCACCTCTCTGTGCGCTTGGCTCCTCCTCTGTAGTAAGTAAGAGTAAGGACCGGAGGAAACTGGAGCTCCACAGCACCTGGGACAGTGTCTGTCTGTCCGTCCGTACACACCCCCTCCCCCCCCCCATGGCTGTAGGTTTCCCGTTTTCACCGATGGCTGATGTAATGCTGTTGGACACCTAAGGTGTCGACACCGTTCAAGTTCTGGAAACAAATCCCTGCCCTCAGGGTCCTGACCTTTGGCAGGACAGATTGGGATGGGTGCTCGCTGTGGGACGTGGGATGAGGGAGACTTCCTGGTGGCAGGGCAGAGGCTGGCGGAGGAGGAAGTGTTAGCCTGAGGCAGGAATGTGCCTGTGGAAGGAACTGCTCGAAGGCTGCAGGGGCTGGAACTGGGAGGGGGGGTGGGGGGAGGTCGGAGATCGCAGATCTCATAAGCCACAGAGAGATCTTGGCTTCTTTTGTCTGCTGGAGCCGGAGTGGGGGGTGAGGGGGGACCCCACCTGACGGGGTTTTAACTGGATCCTCCTGCCGTAATGGGGACACTGGCCTGCAGAGGGGCAGGGCCAGCCCCGGTCTCCCGCCAGGCGCCCTCGGGCCAGACCGAAGCCGGGCAGGGCAGGGCAGGGCAGGGCCGGCAGCTTGGGGGAGCAAAGTGCAGCCAGGGTGGGGTGGCAAACACAGCCCGGCTCCCGGCCAGAGTCTGCCCTGTGGGTGGGTGGCAGGTGTGGGCGCGGCCCCCACCCTGCCCTGCCGGGGGCAGCGGGAGCAGAAACGGCCCCTGAGGCCGCCGCTGGAGCCTGCACCTGGCCTGTGGGTTCGGGCCCACGCGGGCCCTGGTGGCTCAGACTGTGGGCTGGCTGCCAGGTGGCCTGGGTTCAAATCCTCCTTCTGCCAAAGGGGAGCAAGCCCCGGCCTCATGGGTCTCTGGGCCTCCGAACGCTCCCCACGTGCGCCCTGAGGATGGGACGTGCCCATCCTGAAGGAGAATGAAGTGAGGGGCGGAGGAGAGGGCTCAGGGTGTCTGCTCAGTTTGTGTGAACTTGGGGGTGTCCGGCGCTCAGGCCTAGGAGCCCAGAGCCGGTCTGTGAGGGGTTTTCCCTGACTAGCCTCACCCCCACCCCCAGCCCTGGTGGAGACAGCCTTTGTGGGGTACAATTTCTGTCCCCCGGAAACCTCTGACCACCAACTTCCTCTTTTCAGGAAAAAGCTTGGTGGGGGTGGGGCGGGGGAGGGACCGGCACTTCCCCCAGGTCTGTGTGTGACCTTGAGCAAGTCACTTCCTGTCTGGAGCCTGAGCTTCCTCCGTGGGGGAGGGAGGGTGAACCTGAGGAGGACTGGGTGCTCCTGAGATGTTCGGGTGCCTGTGATGGGAGATGCTGACAGTTTCTTTGCTTTTTTAAAATATATTTTATTATTTTTTACAGAGAGGAAGGGAGAGATAGAGTTAGAAACATAGATGAGAGACATCTATTAGCTGCCTCCTGCACACCCCCAATTGGGGATGTGCCTGCAACCAAGATACATGCCCTTGACCAGAATCGAACCCGGGACCCTTCAGTCCGCAGGCTGATGCTCTATCCACTGAGCCAAACCGGTCTTGGCGATGCTGACTGTTTCTAAGGGCCCAGTTCATGTCCAGTGCGTGGCTTTAGGTGCCCAGATTCTGCTCCTCCCACTGTCCTGGGAGGCTTGGGGGGCTGCCATTTCCCCAGTCTGCGGTTCTCTCGTGGGAGGGTCCCTGGCTGTGTCACACGGAGTGGGTGGCTCCGCGGGGGTTTGAACCCAGGTCTCTGGCTATCGGCCTGAACTCTGAACGAGTTTCTTGATTCACCCGCCTCCTGAGGCTGAGTCAGAGGCCACTCGCTCCAGATCTCCTCTGGCTCCCGGGCCAGGGAGGGCGCCCGTCCCCCTGGGCCTGGGCCTGGGCCTGGGCCTGCGCTGTCACCCTGTCACCGTCTGGGCTGGCCTGGCTCCTGCCCCCGAGGGCGCGGCCACGGCTGGCTGGGTCGTTGCCAGGGCAGGGAGCGTCTGCGGTGCCCCGGGCAGTGGGGGTGATGGGGCAGGCGGAGGGGTGATGGGGCAGGCGGAGGGGTGATGGGGCAGGCGGAGGGGTGATGGGGCAGGCGGAGGGGTGATGGGGCAGGCGGAGGGGGTGATGGGGCAGGCGGAGGGGGTGATGGGGCAGGCGGAGGGGTGATGGGGCAGGCGGAGGGGGTGATGGGGCAGGCGGAGGGGGTGGCGGGGCAGGCGGAGGGGGTGGCGGAGGGGGTGATGGGGCAGGCGGAGGGGGTGGCGGCAGGAAAAAGAAGAGGTGAGGGTGCCGCCTGGGTCCCCAGCTACTGCAGCCTTCCCTTCCCTTCTGAGGGCCCAGCTTCCTCCTGTGTGTGTGTGTGAGTGTGTGTGTGTGTGAGTGTGTGTTTAAGTGCGTGTGTGTGTGTGTGTGTGTGAGTGTGAGTGTGTGTGTGAGTGTGTGTGTGTGTGAGTGTGTGTGAGTGTGAGTGTGTGAGTGTGTGTGTGTGAGAGAGTGTGTGTGTGTGTGTGTGAGTGAGAGTGTGTGTGTGAGTGTGTGTATGAGAGTGTGTATGTGTGTGTCTGTGTGTGTGTGAGTGTGTGTGTGTGTGAGTGTGTGTGTGTGAGTGTGTGTGTGTGTGAGTGTGTGTGAGTGTGAGTGTGTGAGTGTGTGTGTGTGAGAGAGTGTGTGTGTGTGTGTGTGTGAGTGAGAGTGTGTGTGTGAGTCTGTGTGAGTGTGTGTATGAGAGTGTGTATGTGTGTGTCTGTGTGTGTGTCTGTGTGTGTGTGTGAGTGTGTGTGTGTGTGAGTGTGTGTATGTGAGTGTGTGTGTGTGTGAGAGTGTGTGTGTGAGAGTGTGTGTGAGTGTGTGTATGAGAGTGTGTATGTGTGTGTGAGTGTGAGAGTGTGTGAGTGTGAGTGTGTGTGAGTGTGTGTGTGTGTGTGAGAGTGTGTATGTGTGTGAGAGTGTGTATGTGTGTGTGAGTGTGTGTGTGTGAGTGTGAGTGTGTGTGTGAGTGTGTGTGTGTGAGAGTGTGTATGTGTGTGAGAGTGTGTATGTGTGTGTGAGTGTGTGTGTGTGAGTGTGAGTGTGTGTGTGAGTGTGTGTGAGTGTGTGTGTGAGTGTGTGTGTGAGTGTGAGTGTGTGAGTGTGAGAACCCTGGAGGAGAGGGAACTGAGGCTCCTGCAGTGCCAGGCTGATTGATTCCCAGTGCCGCTGCCGTCCCCACTCCCTCCTCCTCCTCCCGGCCCCTCCGCCCCCTCCTCCCGCTCTCACTCCCGACTTACCTGCATTTCTCTCTGACGCGCTTTCTCTCTCTCTCTCTCTCTCTCTCCTCTCCACTCCTGCCTTTCCATGGGTTCCCCTCACCGTCCTCTTGTCTGTCTCCCCTTTGTCAGTCTGCCTCTCCCTCAGCGCTCTCTCTCCATGTCAGCCTGTTTGTCCCCTCCACCCTGTCTGTCTGTCTGTCTGTCTGACTTCCTCTCCCTCTCTCCCCCCGCCTGTCTCACAGCCCCAGTTTGTTCTCTGTCTCCCCACTCTGCCTGTCCGGCTCTGTCCGCCTGTCTGTCTTCCTTCCCAATCACTGTCCACCGGGGCCTCTGCCAGGGGCCGGCCCCCTGCCTCCGCGTGTCTCTCTTCCTCTCACACTGTCCCCGAGCCTCCGGGGACCCGGGGGAGGGGGTGGCGGGACGGGAGAGGGACCCAGGGGGAGGGGGTGCCGGGAGGGAGGGGGGACCCCAGAGGAGGGGGTGCCGGGAGGGAGGGGGGACCCAGGGGAGGGGGTGGCGGGACGGGAGGGGGACCCAGGGGGAGGGGGTGGCGGGAGGGAGGGGGGACCCAGGGGGAGGGGGTGGCGGGACCGGGAGGGGGGGACCCAGGGGAGGGGGTGGCGGGACCGGGAGGGGGGACCCAGGGGGAGGGGATGGCGGGACGGGGAGGGGGGGGGACCCAGGGGGAGGGGGTGGCGGGACCGGGAGGGGGACCCAGGGGGAGGGGGTGGCGGGACCGGGAGGGGGACCCAGGGGGAGGGGATGGCGGGACGGGGAGGGGGACACAGGGGGAGGGGGTGGCGGGACCGGGAGGGGGACCCAGGGGGAGGGGGTGGCAGGATCGGGAGGGGGGACCCCGGTGGAGGGGGTGCCGGGACGGGAGGGGGGACCCAGGGGGAGGGGGTGCCGGGACGGGAGGGGGGACCCAGGGGGAGGGCGTGCCGGGACGGGAGGGGGGACCCAGGGGGAGGGCGTGCCGGGACAGGAGGGGGGACCCCGGAGGAGGGGGTGCGGGACGGGAGGGGGGACCCAGGGGGAGGGCGTGCCGGGACGGGAGGGGGGACCCCGGAGGAGGGGGTGCGGGACGGGAGGGGGGACCCAGGGGGAGGGCGTGCCGGGACAGGAGGGGGACCCCGGTGGAGGGGGTGCGGGACGGGAGGGGTGCCGTCGCCCGGCTCACGGGCCTCCCCCCTCTCCCCGCCCGGCAGTGAGACGGTGATCTGCTCCAGCCGGGCCACGGTGATGCTGTACGACGACGGCAACAAGCGGTGGCTGCCGGCGGGGACGGGCCCCCAGGCCTTCAGCCGAGTCCAGATCTACCACAACCCCGCCGCCAACTCCTTCCGGGTGGTCGGCCGCAAGATGCAGCCCGACCAGCAGGTGCAGCCCCGCCTCCCCTTCCGGGGGCTGCCCCCCCCCTCTTGCACCCCCCCCCCCCCCCTCCCCCCCGCCTCCCCCTGCACCCCTCACCCGCCTCTCCCCCCACCTCCCCTTTCCCGGGGCTGCCCCCCCCTTGCACCCCTCCCCCCCCCGCCTCCCCCTGCACCCCTTCACCTGCCTCTTCTCAGGGCTGCCCTCGCCCCTGCACCTCTCCCCAACTCTCCCACCCCCCCCCCCCCCCCCCCCCCCCCCCGCCTCCCCCTGCACCCCTCACCCGCCTCTCTCCCCACCTCCCCTTCCCAGGGCCGCGCCTCCCCCTGCACCCCTCACCCGCCTCTCCCCTCCTGCCAGGTGGTCATCAACTGCGCCATCATCCGGGGTCTCAAGTACAACCAGGCCACCCCCAACTTCCACCAGTGGCGGGACGCCCGCCAGGTCTGGGGCCTCAACTTCGGCAGCAAGGAGGACGCAAGCATGTTCGCCGCCAGCATGGCCAGTGCCCTGGAGGCCTTGGAAGGTCAGCAACCGTGGGCAGTACTCGTGGCCTCAGTTTACTCATCTGGAAATGGGGCTGATTCATTGCTCCTGTGGACAGGTTTTATTTTATTTTATTATCATTTTAAAAATATATTTTATTGATTTTTTACAGAGAAGAAGGGAGAGAGATAGAGAACTAGAAACGGCGATGAGAGAGAAACATCGACCAGTTGCCTCCTGCACACCCCACACCGGGGATGTGCCCGCAACCAACGTACATGCCCCTGACCGGAATCGAACCCAGGACCTTTCAGTCCGCCGACCTACGCTCTACCACTGAGCCAAACCGGTTTTGGCGTGTGGACAGATTTTTAAAAAAATATGTATTTTATTGATTTTTTTACAGAGAGGGAGAGGGATAGTTAGGAACATCGATCAGCTGCCTCCTGAACCCCCTCCTCCCCACAGGGGATGTGCCTGCAACCAAGGTACCTGCCCCTGACGGGAATCGAACCTGGGACCCTTCAGTCCGCGGGCTGACCCCAGCTCCGGGAGGGCTCCCCCTGCCCTTCGCCGGGTGTCATACTGGCTCCTGTCATCATCAGTTCGTATTTAGACATTAATATTATCAACATATATATTTTTTAGACATCAATATTAAATCTCCAGGTGGTAGCTCTCTTTTTTAAAAATACGTATTTTAAAATATGTTTTTTCTAGAGGCCCTCCTAGCCCCGGCTTCATCCGGAATGTTGTTTGGCTGTCTGGTCTAATTAGCATATTATGCTTTTATTATTATGGATTGATTTCAGAGAGGAAGGGAGAGGGAGAGGGAGAGAGATGGAAACATCAATGATGAGAGAATCATTGATGGGCTGCCTCCTGCACGCCCCCCACTGGAGATCCAGCGTATAGCCTGGCCATAGGCCCTTGACCGGGAATTGAACAGTGAACTGGTTCATAGATAGATGCTCAGTCACTGAGCCACGCTGGCCGGGTGCTAGTTCTGTTTTTTTAAATTCATTTTTGAGAGAGAGGCTGGGGGTGGGGGGGAGGAAAAGAGAGATGCTGGTTTGTTGTCCGGTCACTTATTCACGCATTCATTGGTTGATTCCTGCGTGTGCCCTGACTGAGGACTGGACCTTGGTTTATCCCGGCCAGGACCTGACCGTGCCCACGAGTCGCTGGACACCTGGGTGACAGGCAGACTCCAGTTCCGTTGGGCTGAGGTGGGGCTGGCCTGTGCGTGCCTAGCAAGTGCCCGGTGACGGCAGCCCATGGCCAGCGAGGCGTCCGGTCCGAGGTGCCCGGGTCCAGCCTCGCTGCCGGAAGCTTCCGATCGCCCAGGGCCGGGCGTCCGCTTCCCGGGGCGGCCCCGGTGCCGGCGGGAGGGCTTGCTGGTCTGGGGCACAGAGAGAAACATGGTGGGCGCCCGAGGCCTGGGGTGGCCTCTTCGGGGTCCTGGGGCTGGGGCTCTCGTGGCTGAGCCCCTGGCTACGAGCAGACGTGGGAGCCTGGCCCGGGTTTCAGTGATTAGAGCGTCAGCCTGCGCTCTGGAGGGGCGCAGGTTCGATTCTGGTCAGGGACACCTGCCTGGGTTGCAGGTTCAATCCTGCCCCCCCCACCACCACCACCACCGCTAGGAGCTGTGCAGGAGGCCCCCGATCTCTCTCTCTCTCCCTCTCCTCCCCCCTCCCCGCTACCTTCCACTCTCTCTGAAAATCAATGGGATAATATCCTCACTCGTGAATAAGGATAAGAAAACAAACAAAAAGCCCTAGCTGGTGTGGCTCAGTGGGTAAGCGTCGGCCTGCGGATTGAAGGGTCCCGGGTTCGATTCCGGTCAAGGGCACATACTTTGGTTGCAAGTTCCTCCCTAGCCTGGGGGTCTGGGCCCTGGTTTGGGTGCTTGCAGGAGGCAACCAGTCAATATGCTTCTCTTGCATCGATGTTTCTGTCTCCCTCTCTCCCACTCTCTAAAAATCAATGGAAAAATATCCTCGGGTGAAGATGAAAAAAAAAAAAAAACCGAGTAAAAAAAAACAAACACACCAAGAGTAGATGTTGGAATCATCCTGAATTTGTCTTGTTTCTTCAAATTCCAGTTTGCAAGTGTCTCCCCCTTTGGGCCTTCATTGTGCTCACCCTCCCCCCCCCCCCCCCTCACTTGGGCATCACCGCAGCACCCACCACATGCCCGCTCAGCTAGGGGACCTGGTGCTGACCCTCAGCCAGGAGTTTGCCCAGGTGCCCACACCCAGCCCGAGTGCCAGGGTGGCTGACAAGAAGGAAGTGAGCACCTCTGGGCGGGATTCCTGGCGGCCTGGCGGAGCCGGGCAAAGTGCCAGGGGTGGGGCCGGGCTCCGGGGTGACTCATCACCTGGTTCTACCCTCTTTCCAGGAGGTGGGCCTCCAGCGCCAGCACCGCCGCCGCCACCCGCGCAGCCGCCCGCCTGGTCCCAGAACGGCCCCGCCCCCGAGGAGGCGGAGCTCCAGAGGAGGTGGGCCCGCCCGCGCCATCCTGCCCTCCAGGGTGGACAGTCCGGCCCCGGCTCCTACAGTTCACGACTGTCCACCTTCAGCTCCCCCGGGGGGGGGGGGCTAGACATTAGCTTTCAGGAACCCTGCCTCCTGCCGTCTGAGAAACGCCTCCCCCTCCCAGTCCTAATTCGCAGGAGAGTCTAAAACTCGGTTCTTTAGAGAATCTGGAGCATTTTGTGATTCAGGTGTTGACAGTCTGGCTTGGGCCCACCCTGCCCGCGCCGCCCCGCTCCCGGGCCCTGGGGAAGGAGGCGGGTGGGGGTCCGCCCCTCTCCCTGGAGCCCGCGGGGGCCGGGGCGGTGGCCGGGCCCAGGGTCCCCAGTGACAGCAGCTCCATCACCTCCTCAGGCCGCCGGAGCAGGTGGAGCGCCGGGTCTCCAATGCAGGTGATGGTTCCCGGGGCCCTGGAGGGAGTGGGGGGCCGCCCAGAGGAGGGGGTGCGCCAGCCGGAGAACAAAGAACGAGGCTTCTCTCTCAGCACCCCTCCTTTTATTTTATTTTTTCAGGAGCCCCCCCTGCTCCCCCAGCTCCCCCAGCTGGGGGGCCGCCTCCACCTCCAGGACCGCCCCCGCCGCCGGGTCCGCCCCCGCCCTGCGGTCTGCCCCCCGCAGGGGCCTCAGCTGTAGGGCATGGAGCAGGGGGAGGCCCGCCCCCTCCGCCCCCTCTCCCCACCGCAGCGGGCCCCAGTGGTGGAGGGGCTGGGGCCCCCGGCCTGGCTGCAGCCATTGCCGGAGCCAAACTCAGGAAAGTCAGCAAGGTGAGGGGCCAGCCAGGCCGGTGTGGGGAGACGGGCCCTGAGGGACAGCGGGCAGTGAGGCCAGAGTGGCCCGGGGACATCCGGGGCCTGTCCTTAAAGCCCCCTCTGTGATCTCTCCAGCAGGAGGAGGCCCCGGGGGGCCCCGCCGCCCCCAAAGCTGAGAGCAGTCGCAGCGCGGGGGGCGGGCTCATGGAGGAGATGAACGCCATGCTGGCCCGGAGGTGAGCGGGCGCCGGGGCCTCCGTGTTCCCGGAAGCTGGGGAGCAACCCCTCAGACCACAGTCACCCCCGGGGCCAGCAGGGCCCGGGGTGGGATGCTCAGATTCCCCTTGTGGGTTTGTTTCTTTGGGTGAAAGTTCCCTCTTTGATAGTCAGGTTTGGGATACGATGCTGCAACTGCCTTCTCCAGAGATGGCTGAGTTTGCAGCCACCTGGTAGGCTCTAGAATGTTCTAAATTCTAGGACCTTAGACATTCCTGCCTCGGAACCTGAAAAGTTGGTTCCTAGAATTCCGGAGCCTCCGCTCCGCCCTTAGACCTTTGGGATTCCCAAATGTGAAAAGCGCACCCCCCCCTCCCCCCAATCCCACCCCGGAGAACAGCACTCTCTGTAACTTCCAAAATTAAAGTTTTCTTAGCTTTCACAGATTCCATAACCCTGTACCCTAGAACCCGCCTTTCTGAGCTCTGGGCAGGGGGATTGTTGCGTGGCTGAGGGAGGGCCGGAGCCATCTGTTTTTGCCTTTCCCTCCTGCAGAAGGAAAGCCACCCTAGTTGGGGAGAAACCCCCCAAGGATGAATCTGCCAATGTGAGTTAGAGGCTCTTCCTGCCGTATGCACCTCAGGCTGTGCCGTTGGGGTAGGGATAGTGGGGAGGCGGTGTGACCAGGATGGGCTGGACCGAACCTGGAAGAGGAAAACGAACAGAGGTGTGGCAGGGACCGGCTCACGACAGTTTCATTTCCCACCAGCAGGAGGAGCCAGAAGCCAGAGTCCCAGCCCAAAGTGGTGAGTGACAGCCCAGTCTTGCCACAGGAACTACAAATCCCAGGATGCTTTGCCCCGACACGTAAAGCACATTCTTGAGAGTCTGTGCAAACAATACTGGAGATTGTAGTCTCCTAAGGTGGTTCTTGGAACAGGGGCTGATGGGGCGGTGGGAAAAAGATCGAGGTGGGGCATTCCTTGTCCCTTATCTTTTTTATTTGTTGCCTGTTCCCCCAGAACCTGTGCGGAGGCCCTGGGAGAAGAACAGCACAACCTTGCCAAGGTGGGTCATCGATAATGGCGCCCCACCTACCCCACGGTGATGGGTTTGCTGAGTCCATGCTCGTGGAATGGGAGGCAGACCCTCTCTAACCTCATTTCTGTCCCAAACCACACCCTCCCTCCCAGGATGAAGTCTTCGTCTTCAATGACCACTTCCGAGGCCCACACCTCCACACCCAGCTCCGGCGATGAGTCAGACCTGGAGAGGGTGAAGCAGGTAGCTTGGCGAGGGGACTGGGGGTGAGGTTTGGTGGGGAGGGGGCTATAAAAGGGGCCGCAGGAAGAAGAGATCTAAATTCTGGGTCTAAATTCTGCCACTGGCTTGCCCTGTGATTCTAGAAAGGGCCTGGGAAATGCAGAGATGTGATCAGGTCAGGGAAGACATGTCTGTGTCATCCACAACTCCCTCCCCCCCCCCCCCCCCAGCACTTGACAGGCCTTACTAATCTATCCCTGCACACTTTCCTGTTGAGTACCCAGAGTCCTTTTCAGCACACCGGCCCCAGACATCCATTACCGACTGGAGTTGGCAGGAGAACAGAATGTATTTGCCATCCCCGGTACTGGATGTTCTTCAGTGCTTTTCTCTGGCTCAGAGGACCCAGAAATCTCCAGAATTTCTCCAGTTCCTCTGCGGCTCTGTCAGGGCGGTCATAGTGTGTGTGTGTGTGTGTCCTTTCATTCATTCAGAAAGGAGAAATTAGCCCTCGCTGGTTTGGCTCAGTGGATAAAGCATTGGCTTGAGAACTGAAGGGTTGGTCCCGGGTTTGATTCTGGTCAAGGGCATATGCCCAGGTTGCAGGCTCAATCCCCAGTAGGGGATGTGCAGGAGGCAGCTGATCAAGATCAATGATTCTCTCTCATCATTGATATTTCTCTCTCTTCCTCTCCCTCCCTCTTGAAGTCAATAAAAATAAAATGAAGCAAGGAAGGAAGGAAGAAAGGAGGAAAGGGAGGGAGGGAGGGAGGGAGACTATTGTCTGCAAGACCAGCACTCTTCCTGATCGGCTGCGCCCCATTGTTTTCAGGAGTTTGTGGAAGAGGTGAGGAAGGAATTGCAGAAAGTGAAAGAAGAAATAATTGAAGGTGAGGTGGTTTGGGAGGAATCCTGTCCGTGGGAAAGAGCCCTGTTTGGGAAGGGAAGGGAGAAGAGGCTCCGCCCCTGACCTCTGCCCTTTGTTTCCTTCCAGCCTTTGTCCAGGAGCTGAGGAAGAGGGGCTCCCCCTGACCCCTGGCCCAGAAGACCCCGTTTCTCCTTTCTGCACATCTCGCCTGTCACCCTGCTTTCCCTGCCTCAACTTGACTTGGAATTGGCCGAAGGCTACACAGGAATGCGTCTTCCCCACGCCTCATCCCGCTTGGAAAATTCCAAGGGGGTGTGGCTTCTGCCATGCCCACTCCTGTACTGGCTGCTGATTGGCTGGGGAGGCCCCCACCCTCTGCTCCCTTTGGTCCTTCCCCTCTGCCATCCCCTTGGGGCAGGTTCCTCTGCTGGGGATGTACCAATTAACCCCACAATAGGGGGAGGAAGGAGGGAATTTCACATTCCCTTGTTCTAGATTTCACTTTAACGCTTAATGCCTTCAAATTTTTGTTTGTTTTTTTAAGGAAAAAAATTATAAATATATATATATATTTAGGTTTTGGGGGGAAGGGAAATTTTTTTCTCTTTGGTTTTGATAAAATGGGGAGTTTTTAAATGCTTTAGCCCCAGGCTTGTCCCATTCGGGCAGCTATTTAAGGTGGGGAGGGGGTGTCCCACCAGGCTGGGGGCACCCCCTCCCTCTGGCTCCTTCCCCTTTTCTATGAGGAATTAAGATGCTGTAACTTTTTGGAACCTCAGTTTTTTGGTTTTTTATTTGGGTAGGTTTGGGGGTCCAGGCCGTTTTTATCCCCTTCGGGAGAATAAGGTGAAGGAGGGAGGAAAAGGGGAGGACAGCTCGCCTCCGCTCTCCCACCTTCACCTCCAGCTTCTTGAAAATGGGCCCTGCGGAATAAACCTGCCTGTTTTTATAAACGCTGAGCTTTCTGGAGTGATTGGAAGGGCTGCTCGGATGAGGACGGGAGCAGGGTGCTGTCCCCCGCCCCAGCAATCCACCTGCTCCTCTTCGTCCTTCTTCCCACCCTGCACCAGTTCCAGTTCCCTCAGCTCCTTCCTTCAGCCAGGCCGGCTCTGCCCCCTCTGACCTCTCAGCAGACCTCCCTCCCTCCCTCCCTGTCCATGCCCCTTGCCTAGGCCCTTCCTCATTCCTCCTCCCCCCTCCTGCCCCAGTCCAACCTCTTCCCCATCCGAGAGAAGGCCCGGGCTGTCCCTCCCGGACGGGTGGCCTGGGGCCAGTCCCTTTGCTGCCCGGAGGCCTTGGGAAAGGACGCTTAGAAGGATCCTCTGCCCCCTTCCCATCAGAACCTCCGGCTTTTCCATTTTAACGACCCTGTGTCCTTTTTACCGGCATGCACCGCGGTACTCAGACACACTGAGATGCCCCTTTAATTAGAAAACATCTCCAGTCTAAAAAAAAAATTGCATTCGGAAGTCAGAGCTCACGCACACCCCTGCGGTGGTTCATGGGGTCAGGCAGGGACTGCCTGGAGGAATGTTCCCTGTGGGGGGGTGGGAACTTCGGGCTGAGGGCCAGTGGTGCCGTGGAGGAAGCCTTTGCATGAGGGGACTGGGGGCCAGTCCAAAGGCAAAAAGGACGAGGGAATCCCTGAGTGTTCTGAAGGGCAGGCTTGGGTGAGAGGTGGGGTCATGGCCGTTGCCCGTGTAGTAGAACAGGCGGGTCCCCATGAAGGAGGTGGCGGTAAGGACGGCCGAGGGCCCAGAACTGCCGGCAAACGGGGGCTTTGGTCAAAACAATTGTTCAGCCCCCGGGCAGCACCGGTTTTTCCAACCTAAAGGGCCGCGTCCCCTGGACGGCCGGGAGCAGGGGCGGGGAGCTGCCAGCCTTTGCTGTGGGCTGTGCCCGGACGGAGGTGCTGGTGCAGCTGCTGGAATGATCGCTCGGGAGGGGCCCGCAGTAGCGGTGCCAACGGGGGACCGAAGCCGGGCCCCCCAGGTGACCTGCGGGAGCTAAAGCTTTCCGAGGTCCATCCTGTTCCTCACCCCCATGGAGAGCGGAGCAGACAGTTGTGCATCTCCACTGCAAGGGTGGCGAAGGAGCGATGTTTCCGGGGAAAGGGGAGGACCCCCGCGGGCCAGTGCAGGTGTGAGGGACAGCGCGTCCTGCGGGCCCACCTGTGGGGGGAAGTGGCCAAAAGCCTGGTTGGTTGAGCCCCGGCCTGGGATCCGTTCTGCCCCAGAGGGACCGGGTGGTATTAGCTGGACCGGTTCAGGAGGGCACAGGGCGGACAGACGGCCACACCGGGAAAGTCACGTCCAAGGCCAGCGCCTGGCGGCCTCCTAGTCCTCAGGCTCTGGGCGCCTTGGGCTTGTCCTGGCGGCGGCTGTGGGCGCGCAGGTCTTGTATCTCGGCCCGCAGCTCGTCCAGGGCGCTCTGCGTGGGCGCCGCCTGCACCTGCGCCTGCAGCGCCTCCAGCGCCAGCCCCAGGCGCTCCACCTCGTCCCGCATCTCGCCCCAGGCGTCGCGCTGCTGCAGCTCCCGCCGGCGCTGCTGCGCCCGCTGGCGCCAGTACTCCAGCACGATGCAGGCGCAGGCCAGCAGGAAGATGGTGGCCTCGCCCAGCAGCTCGGCGCCCAGGTCAGCTGCCGCCTCCTCGTTCAGCGGCTTCACCGCCTCGGCGTTGAAGCCCATGAGGCGCATCTTGGCCCGCATCTCCGCCCAGTGGTACACTGCGGGGGAGAGAGGGTCACCCAGTGGTCACTGCGGGGGAGAGAGGGTCACCCAGTGGTCACTGCGGGGAGAGAGGGTCACCCAGTGGTCACTACGGGGGAGAGAGGGTCCGCCCAGTGGTCACTGCGGGGGAGAGAGGGTCACCCAGTGGTCACTGCGGGGAGAGAGGGTCAGCCCAGTGGTCACTAAGGGGGAGAGAGGGTCAGGGCTCCGCTGGGCGCCCCCTCCGACCCGCCCCCCGACTCCTCCGAGTCCCGCGGGGCTGCGGGAAAGGCAGCCGCAATGTCTGGCTGGGGAGTGTGAGCCCTAAAGACCTGCTTTGGCTCAGTGGATGGAGCCTTGGCCTGCGGCTCAAGGGTCCCAGGTTCGATTCCGGCCGAGGGCACATGCCTGGGTTATGGGCTCCATCCCCAGTGGGGGGCGTGCTGGAGGCACCTGATCAATGATTCTCTATCATCATGGATGTTCCTTCTCTCCCTTCCTCTGTGAAATCAATATATATATTTTAATATATATTATTGATTTTGCACACCCCCTACTGGGGATGTACCTGCAACCAAGGTACATGCCCTTGACTGGAACCCTTCAGTCCGCAGGCCGACGCTCTATCCACTGAGCCAAACCGGTTTCAGCAAGATTATATATATCTATATTTTATATTTAAGAATAAGACCCTTGCGCACGCGGGGCGGGCGGAACGCTGAGTTAGCTGTTGGGGCGGCCGGCGGCCGGGCATCTTTGGAAAAGTCAGATCAGGGCGAGAAGCTGACAAATGCTGCCTTGGATGGGGGTTCTTAGTGCGGCGCCCCCCTGGGGTGGTCCCAGCCCGGAGCGGGGTAAATGTCCTCCCTCTGGTCTCTCCGCCGCCCCTCCCCGTCCCCTCCCACAAGGCCGGACCCGTTCCTCTCGGCCTCCCCAGGAGCAGCCCGTTCTCTGCGCTGTTGGGGCTGGTGCGGGGCTGCTCCAGCGACGGCTCCTCGACCTCATCACTTATTCATGGAGTGAGGGCCTTCGCCTCGCCCTCGGTTATAAATGCAGCGTAAACACGGAGTGGGTGCTGAAACCTGACTCACTCCAGGAACATTCATATGCATCCATTGATCCAGGGGCTGCTGGGAAAATCATAGCCTCTTTGCACTCATTAGGGGATGGATTCCTGGAAACATCTACCCTCCCCCTCCCAGCGGCCTCCGCAGCAGCCAGGCTGACGGGGCACCTTCCTTCCCTTCAGCTGGAGGAGCAGCCCTGCACCCGGGAGGCTGGCTGCATGGAAGGGGCACGTCGGCAGGGACACCTGCAACCCAGACACTGGAATAGAACCCGGGACCCTTGATTCCGCAGGTCGACGCTCTACCCACTAAGCCAAACCAGCTAGGGCCAAGGTGAACCACTTTTGATCTCTTCTGCATATTTTCTTCCACATTAACCCTAGGGTGCCAAATCACAAGCCACTACCTCTAACCCTTGATTTACTCGATTGAATTTTTAAAAATATCATAACCTGAGCCGTGGCCAGTGTGGCTCAGTTGGTTGGTCCCCGGTTGGATTTCCTGTCAGGGCCCAAGACTGGGTTTCAGGCTTGATCCCCGCATGCAGGAAGCAGCTTATTGATGTGTCACTCTCACACCAATGTTTCCCTCTTTCTCTCTCCCTCTCCCTTCCTCTCTCTCAAAATCAATAAAAAATTTTATTTAAAAAGTATGACTTACTTTCCACTGCCACCCCCATGAGTGTGAATGTAACATATTCTGTGTCCTTTCCTCTCCCTCCCAAGTTTTGCGAGTGATTTTTATTTTGTCTGATACGATTGGTAGCCTCTGTAATTCTGAATAACATGCTTATTGCCTTAACTTCCTGACGAGCACTTGCAGGTACATTAACTGCTCTTCCCACTCTCTACTCTCCCCTACCCTCTTCTCCTGTGATCTGCTGCTGTGCTACTGTGTTTACACTAGAGGCCCAGTGCACAAAATTTGTGCACGGGGGTAGGGGTGTGTGTGTCCCTCAGTCCAGCCTGCATCCTCTCCAATCTGGGATCCCAACCGCTTGCCTGCCTGCCTACCTAATCACCCCCTAAACATTCCCCTGCAGGCCTGGTTGCCCCCAGCTGCCCTCCCCTGCTGGCCTTGTCACCCCTAACTTCCCTCCCTTACAGGCATGGTTCTCCCCAACTGCCCTCCCCTGCACGCCTGGACGCCCCCAACTGCCCTCCCCTGCAGTCCTGGTCCCTCCCAGCTGCCTTCCCCTGCTGGCCCGGTCACCCCCAACTGCCCTTCCCTGCTGGCCTGATCACTCCCAGCTGCCTTCCCCTGCCGTCCATCTTTGACCTCATGGGGGTAGCCATCTTGTATGTTGGAGTGACGGTCAATTTGCATATTACCTCTTTATTAGATAGGATTACCAAGATGCCTTTCTGAGCCATAATAAGTGTTTACTGTTCTTTGCCTACTTTCACTCTAGACTAGATGGTAGTTTCTAGGCCCAGAATTACAGGTGCAAAGTTCCTCAGCCGTTTGGGGCCTGGCCCCATCACTTATCACCCTGCAGCCCTGGCTGCACCAGGATGGGCTTATGGGTGAGTTGCTCTTGTTTCATCATTTTATACTTTTCTCTCCTCGCCTTGTTTTTCTCTGCGGCCCTGGGAATGTTTCCTGTCTGCACAGAGAAGGATTAATGGTGCCCTGCAACTACAGGCCTGGCCTTCGCCCTTCTGTCCCTGCAGAGAGGAAGTCTTTAAGTCCTTGGAATGTCCTGCCTGAGAGCAGTGTCTGTTTACGTGGGGCTGGGCCGCGCCGGATGGTGTACATTAGCACAGCGCTTCCGGGAAGGGCTTCGCCCCGTGGCACCAGCTCCCCCCAGGAGCGGAGCGGCTGGAGGAAAGCAGCCACAGGGCTGGGAAAGCTGGCCTCTGCGGCCCATCCCCCTAAAGACCGGAGCCGCCCGGCAGCTTCCCCGCTGTCACTCTGCTGCTGGGAGAAGGTGGTGCCGTCCAGCCCCCTGGGACAGCGGGAGCGCTCCCGTATCCTGCCCCGCACACCTCTTGCCGAGCTGACTGTCATCTGTGTCCTCTCTCTGATAAACTGTAACCACCAGTGAGTCATCCACCAAATTATTGGAGTTGGAGGTTGTCAGGGTCCCTGAACTTGCGGTCGGTGTCAGAGTGAGGGTGTGCCTGGGACCTCACCGTGTGGGGCGTGTTTCCGCCCTCCGTTTCCCGGTGACTCCCCCGCAACTTCCTCGTCTGGAGCGCGGCCCTGCACTGATCCTTCACCGCTAGACTTTCTCTCCTGTTTCGTTTTCATTAATGGGTGTAGAGAGAGAGAAACATTGATGTGAAAGAGAAGGATATATCAGCTGCCTTCCACATGCGCCCCAACTGGGAACTGAACCCACGGGATGATGCTCTGACTACTGAGGCACACCAGCCAGGGCCTTCTTTTTTAATTTGACTTCCCATCACCATTTACCCCCTTATTCCACCCCCCAACACACACTTCTCTCCTGTTTTCTCATCCCTCCTCTTTGTTCTACATTCTGGGGCTTTTATTAACTTTTCCTTTCAGAACATCTATGAATTTGGGGGGGGGGGGGGAAGAGTTGCAACCATGCCTGTGATTTTCATAGTCTTTATTTAAATGATCCTACCTAATAAAAGAGTAATATGCAAATTAACCATCACTCTGCTACACCCACCAGCCAATCAGAGCAAGTATGCAAATAAACCCAACCAAGATGGCTATGGCCACAGAGAGCAGGAGGGAGGTTTGGGTTTCCCAGGCAATGGTAGTAGCCAAGCTTTCTGCCTAAGCCAGCTTAAGCCTCCACTCAAGGTTACAAAGTTTCAATTATAGAAGGTAAACAAATCCAAACAGAAATGGCGGCAGCCACAGAACAAGCAGAAGGCTTGGTTCCACTCCAGGCTACAAGGTTTTAATTGTAGAAGATAAATAAATTCCAGATACCAGGGCCTCCGCTTGGGTCGCCAGGGGGCATGGCCGGCCTGCAAACCACCACAGGCTCCTCACTCAGGCCATCCCACGCCCCAAAGGAACTCCTACCCTGATCTGGGACACCCTTCAGGACAAATCAGCTGGCCCCCACCCATGCACCAGGCCTCTATCCTATCTAATAAAAGAATAATATGCAAACTGACCATCACTCCAACACACAATAGCTGCCCCCATGTGGTCAAAGATCCTGCCCCCATGTGGACATAATAAGATGGCCACCACAAGATGGCCAGTTGTAGAGGACAGTTGGGAGGGACCAGGCCTACAAGGGAGGGCAGTTGAGAGGGACCAGGTCTGCAAGGAAGGGCAGTTGGAGGCGATCAATCCTGCAGGGGAGGGCAGTTAGGGGTGACCAGGCTGGCAGAGGATGGAAGTTGGGGGCAAACAGGCTGGCAGGGGAGCAGTTAGGCATCAATCAGGCTGGCATGGGAGTGGTTAGGGGGTGATCAGGCTGGCAGACAGAAGCGGTTAGGGGCAATCAGGAAGGCAAGCAGGTGAACAGTTGGGAGCCAGCAGTCGGACATCCCTTAAGGGGTCCCAGATTGGGGAGGATGCAGGCTGGGCTGAGGGACACTGTGCCCCCCCCCCCCAACCCTGCCTCATGCATGAATTTCATGCACCGGGCCTCTAGTTATATTATAAAACAATCAAACTTAGAGACAAGTTTAGCTTCTCCATGAAGCTTTATCAAATCTACATCTTGAGCCCTGGAAGGTGTGCTCAATGGTTAAAGTGTTGGCCCATGCACCAAAGGGTCTTGGGTTTGATTCCCAGTCAAGGGCACCTACCTGGGTTGCAGGTTTGAGAAGCAACCAATCCATGTGTTTCTCTCATCTCAGTGTTTCTCCTTCCCTCCCTCCCTCCCTCCCTCCTTCCCTCAGAGTTTTCAATTAATTCTCTATCAAGATGTAAGGTTTTTTTTGTTAAAGCTCACCAGAGGATATTTTTCTAATTGCATTTTAGAGAGAGTGGAAGAGAGCGAGTGGGGA